CCGCCGCCAAGGCCCAGACGAAGATACCGCTGGAGACGTAAGCGCTCGCCCCCGCCGCGGCCTCCTCGGTCCCCTTGCGGCCTCCTCCTCCCTGGCACCCGGCACCCCCTGCCCTCAGCCTCCCGGGGCTGGTCTGCAGCCTGCAAGGGACAACGCGGTGCCTAGCGCTGGTGGGGACGTGGCCGCATCAAGTGCCAGGGGCCCCAGGTGAAGACACGTCTCTTGGGCACGTCCCAGGTCTGGATGGTGCAGCGCCAGCTCTCCTGCTCTCCTTACTCAATGTGCGCTGCCGTTGGGCACAGGCAGTGGCCAACACCTAGGAAATGTTGATGCCCCTTTTGCACATGTGCTCTTTGGGTGTCTGCAAGGCGCCAGGGTGCCCCGTAGCTCTGCACATGCTGGGATGTGCGAGTGGCTGCTCCATCACAGTCGCTGCTGGAAAGTTGCTGCTGCTGCAACATGGACATCAAGCCCCAGCCCACAGCCCCCCAGGAAGCTAACGGGTCTCAACAAACTGAGTTTATAAAAGCCTCGCCTCATTAAGCTGATTTAGACAAATTAAATCCTTTAAGGATTAAAAACCTGTCAGCAATGCTGTTGGCAAAAGTTGTGGGGCAGGAGAAGGGCTGGGACAGGTCCGTCCATGTAGGACAGCAGGGTTAGCTTGGACAGGAGACACGGTGTCTTTGAGTTTCAGAAAGAGGTATGTGGACTACACCACCCAAGGTGAGCCAAAGTCCTTCCCTGAGACTAAAAAAGCATTTTGTATTCAAAAAGTGCCAACAAGACCCTTGCACATATGCTCGCTAATGAGGCACACCTGATGCACCCCAGCCTGACTCCTTGCTGCTCTCAAGGGTTTTATGGAGGGGATCGCAGGAAACTGCCACTGGCCTTACCGCCTGCTGTGCTGCCAAATCCCAGCTGAGCTCAGGGCTTCTGATGTGAACTTCGTAAGAAGGATGCACAGGTTATAGGGCAGTCTGTAGCCTTCCCCACACCTCTGCCTTTCTGTGAAATCATCTTTGCTGCCGTGGCGGCTGCCTCTGATTTACAGCAATCTGCATTTCCTTAAGTGCTTCTGTCAGTAAGTACTGCGTGTTGGGAAACAAGACTTTAAAAGTCCATCTGAGAACTTTGCAGCAAAAGAAGCAGTTCCCTGCAATAGCAAAAGCTATGCAAAAGAAGCATATTTCCCTCTTGCTTTCATTTCTCTATAGAATAAAGTTCAACCTTTAATAATTTCAAACTGTGTACAGTAAAAAGCAGCTTTCTGTGCCCAGAGTAAACACTGAATATTTCTACCTTTTGGCCTTAAAATCTGTGGCATTAAGAAGACAGCCTGTCCTCTCTGTTGTTTTTGCCACTGCAGACGAGTGCAGGGATTACAGGCAGGCAATCACTGCTCAAATCCTTTTCTGATGTGTTTGGTTATAATGTGGCGGCACTTTACTACAGAGGAAACAGTTATGTCACTTCACAGAATTTGGAATTTATTCATGCACAAGAAAAAAAGGGAAAGAAAAAAAAACACAATGGAAAAAGATCTTCTTTCCCCTGGTACCAAAAACAGTCCAACAATTGAAGTAGTCCCTGGTGTTTCAAAACCACTCCTGAATTTGACTGAAGCAAAAAAAAAAAAAAAAAAAAAAAAGCCTCTTTGAAATAAATTTCAGCAAAGGAATGCATTCGCTAGGGGACAAAAGGGAGTAGGAAACGGTCCTCCTCTATAGATTACCCAAGGACATTCTGGGGACACAAAACTAGAAGCTTTTAAACACCAGCTGGATTCAATCACAGTTAAGTGACACAAAGCTAAGCAGGCCTGCACTGCTCCCTGTGTCATGCCTGGCTTTGTGGCAGCGTGCTCAGTTCTTTACCAGCTTATTCAAATCTTTGCAAAACACACTCAGCTTTAACTCCTGTGGTGCAAAGATCTAGTCAGTCCATTATTATTTCTGAGCTCAGCACAGAAACCACCTCCTCTTTTCTCCTGACCACTGCTCTGCTTGCAAACTGGTCACAGCACAGGCAGCTGCAAAACTGGTGTGGATTTGGGGCTGGCTGCTCAGCCTCTGCTTGGTGGGCTACTCGAAACAGCAGGAGATGCTGGTGGGAGAGGTGCAGACCAACCTGGGGTGGCCTCTTTCAGCTGCCTCTGTCGTGCCTGTACATCTGCTCCTGAGGTCTGCGAGCAAGCAGCCTTGGATGAAATCTCTCTGCAGCGTGACGAGGTTCAGACTGACCTTTTCCCTCGTTGTTTCTGAAAAGATGAAGAAGCCCATTTAAATTCAGCAGGCGGGCTGCCCTTAACCTTCCAGGACTCTAAGGCCATTCCCTTCCATGGCAAATAATTGCCTTTTGTACATGTAAATGCCGGTATGCCTGCCTCTTCACTTGCCTTCTTCTCATCTCCATGAAACAAGTTTTTGTACTATACATTTTTAATTATCTGCTTTTCAGCCCCACCAGGCTGAAAAAGGTCCCTGTGACCTTTGTGCCCTCTTCCATTTCCCCTAATTTTGCAGTCACCACTATAAAACCGCCCATCCCTAACCCTCTCCTTGTGCTTCCTTCTTCCTCTGGTCCTTTTCTCTGCCTTTGCCTCTGCCAGCGCTTGTGCTTTTGCAGCCTGCCACTTTGCAGAGCTGCTTCGAGGACTTCTGCAGAAATATCAGCCCCAGAACCAGGGTGGGAGCCAAGAAGCAGCCATGAGGGTCCTGCAATGGGGAACTTACTTACTTACACAAATCCTAACTGTTTTTCTCTCCCTCAAGTTCTTCTGTTACTGGAGGTTTCAAGGCTCACATATTTACTCTTCTTTTGCCATAACCTCAAAGGCTAAAAAATTAACTTCTCTTTTCCTGTTTTTATGAAAGCCAGGAGTGCTGAGTGGTCGTGTAGCACCAGGACTTAAGGATTTCAGAAGCAAGTAGTTCTGTAAGCAGCAGAGATGCTTTCAATAAAATTGCATCTTGTGGTTGGCTTCTGTAGTGACTGATGATTGCTAAGCTCATATTGCAACCCCTTTTCCCTCAATAACAGCATCTTTCTGCTGAATCTGCTCATCTACCCACACTTGTTGGAACTTAATATCACTGACTCTTTTACCCTGCTGGACAGAAAAATTATTAGGGCTGGGAGGACAGTCACATGCAGAGCCACAAACACAACACAAAACTGAAAAACCTCATTCCTTTCAGCAAAGAGGGTAAAAACAAGTATTTCTGCTAGAATTACTATGCCAAGCCTCATTTTAAGTTTTTGCTTTCTATAGCAAAAGGGGAGGAGACATGAAGAACATTAGTCAATATCAGCACAAAACATCTTACATGTAAGAGTTATAAACTAACATCAATACATTCTAGATGGGCATCAAGTTAAAGGTCAGCTTATAAACTCTTAGACCTTGTGTCTCAGGGAATAAGTTGGCAACTACAAGAATGAGGAAAAAGTTTCATTAGGTCTCATACTTTTTCTGTTTTCCTCTTTTTTTTTCCCTCTCTATTCTAGGCTTTTCTATTCTAGTGTTATTCCTCTATTCTAGTGCTATTCCTCTATTCTATTCTAGTGTTAAAATAACTGATATGGGACAGTAAAATGTTGAAAATAGCTATGTTTAAATTTTTATGTTTAAATGAAACAAAGAAATAAAAGCTCTAGCAATCAAAATAGGATATAGAACACAACCCCCTCTCCACTAAAATAAATACATTAAAAATAAAAATAAAGTTGAGTTCTTCTTGCTGATTTCACTTGGTACCAGATCACACACGGTAGTTAGAAGTGCATCCCTCATTAAGGAGTGATTATAAAGGGACCTACTGTAGTTACCCCCTTTTTGGAGTTAGTGGAGATAGATAGGTGTGGTAAAGAGCAGGAGTCTTAAGTGTGGTCTAAATCAGCCCCTATTGCTGCTGCTCTGCCCCTGTTTGCAATAAAGGAAACTAAACACATAAACTTTTCTAGACTAAAATTAGTTGTGCTTCTTCCACCATCACTGCACAGGCTTAACTCTAGAGCTCATCTTAACAGTAGCTGTGTTATTCTGCCCCAGAATGGTGCAGTGCAGTGGATAGTTAGGCCCTGAGGTTAGTCTGCTTTGAGCTGGGAGAAATGTACTGGAAATGATAGGTAAGACTCTCTACCTTGTAAATAGATAGCATATCCCAATAAGTGCAGAAGAACATTTATTCCCTTAAATACATCTCTCCTAAGTGAATCCTCATTAAAGGAGCTGTGCGTAGGTGGAGCTGCCTAAAGTGAATTATGCAGGCAATTTCTGATGAAGCTTTCTGCCAGTTACAACAGCCATCTATTCTGATTTGAATGGCTTGGAGTTTGGGCTGCTCTTCAACATCCTTGTGTTCTCCATGCACTACTGCTATCAGTTACTTACAGGACAGCATAAATAAGAATAGTGTTTTACAATGATGAGATCTACACAGGCATTATCAAGCTGAGAGCATCATCTTCATCCAGCTTGTTAGCCTCTGTCCTGTATGACTCGAGGAACTGGAATGAAGAGGTGGATCTTGACAACTCTTGTAGGGCTGAGAATTATTTCTCTTCAACAGTCTTAAAATAAGGTGTCTAGACCATCATCCTAGGCTCTTTCTACAATCAGCAAAGGTATCTCCAGATATCTATTTGTTTCATTCTACTAACGGCTCAGGAAATCATGATAAAATGTAAGACCAAACACACAACTTTCTCACTTCTAAAGTTAGGTGAGGAAAACTATACCCTCCAATTGAACAAGTGATGGCCGAGACTGTCAAAACTCACTGTTGCTGCCTGCTGACTATAGCCTGGGGAGAATGTCCCAAACCACTTCCTACCTTGCTAGTTGTTTCACTGGCAGTTTGGGGAGAAAGGATTATTGTTGTCACGTAGTGGTTGAGAAGAAATATGGAGGTTTTCATACACAGGAAGACTGGTTTTCCCTGTTTATTCCCTGGAATTAAGTCCTGCTGCCTTTGAGTTAAAGGTTATTACCTATTTATGCTGTTTTCTTTCTTTTTTCCTTTCAGGGTTAAATCTTGGGCAGATGCCTTTGGTGGGGAGCTGTACTCCATTGTGACCAAGTACTCGGGGTCTCTCCTATTACAGAAGGTAGGCAAAAGCTGCAAGGATTTCCTGGCCTTTGTATGTTCTTCCCACATAGCCTTCCAGACTTCCTTTTCTACAGAAGACTTGGGGTGGAAAAATGGCAAAACATATAGTTCTCTTTCAAAATCATGGGATTTCATGTCCATTGGAAGTGAGTGGGACCCCTCAACTATACTGAACTAAAGAAAATCTGATTTAACACTCCTCCTGCTCTTACTAGCCATGACCAAATGCCACCTAAATTACCCTTTATTAAAAAAAAATGAAATGCTTTTTAGCAGTACTCCTCACACTTCTCCCTGATCATTGCCCAAATCTCCCACACTGACTCTCTGCTGCTTCCTAACTGCACGTCCCTCCCTCTCCTTCTGTTCCTCATCTGTGCTTCATGACCCAGCCTTTCTGCCTCTTCTGTGGTCCTCCACCTGGTATTTCTGCTTATTTCTGCTGCCTCATTTATCTTTCCCCGGGCATTCATCACGCCACATTCCCCCTTTTTAAATCTTGCCTTTGAAGCCATCTTTTCTCCCTTCATCTTGGGCGGCATCTCTGGGATGGATGTCCTGGCAGGGCTGGAAGCTGCGGCCTTTGGATGCAGATCTTTGTCTCCCTTCCCTGCCTGGGGCACCCAGTTTGTTAAGTGAAAACTGAGCAGCACCAGCCTAAAGTCTCTGCCAGCATTAAAGGGTGCATCTCTAGGGACTTAAACTGAATATTCCCGTTTGCAGCAGTAGAGAGTTTGCCTTGTTACTTTTTTGATTCCTAAAATTGGAGATGAATAGCTGGTGTGGTTTTACTGTAAAATAGTAGTAATTATTAACTAACTCTGACACAAGTAACGTACTCTGAGTTGCTACTCTTTCACTCTGTATGGGCAAGAGCATCTGTATCTCACTGCCAGCAGGTCTGTATTAATCAACCTTTCCTAAGCACTGCCCAAGAGGTCTGATTTCTGCCAGGCATATCTGAGAGGATGTATATCCTTCTCAATCTCCTGTGGCCATGCACTTTATTTTGTTTTTTTCTTCTTTATCTGATTCCTCTTTTCAGCATAAGCCATGCATTGTCTCTTAGGCTTTTTAGTTATCTGTTTTTTGTCCTCTCAATAGTAACAATAACCACGTCCTAGCACAGAAAGAGATGGTTTGACTTGCCTTGCTAGTGAGCTTTCTAATTCCCTGTTCCTAGCATGCTATGGAGGAAGCGGGAGGCTCCTGTGGCATTGCCTTTGCTAGATTTGGCAGAGAAACCCCTTCAATATTTATTGCAAAGGCCTATACTGCTTATTAGTCATTTATAGGGGGAACGTGCCACTACACAGTAAAACGTTGTCAGTACTGACCTAGGTACATCATGGCCTAGTTGTGAAGCAACTGTGTTGTGTGATAACATATCAGGCAAAAATTTGGCCTTTAGCAATTTTGACAATGCTTCTGCATTGTCTGTTCCTCCATGGAGACCACAGAGTGTCAGAGGCAAAGGAACCTGGGACCCGAGGTCCAGTGGGCAGGAGATGGGGTTTGTTTGATACAGATATGTGTGTGATAGAGTATAAGTATTAACTGTCGCACAAAAACTCTGAGCTTTTCTAGAATTTCGTAAGGGTGCCACCCTTTCGTGTGAGGAAATACTGCTGACACCTTCTGACTGCTTCAGCACAGCCAGCCTGTGCTGCTCCTGCAGCTATTCCTACTAACAGATTAAAGGAGCTCACATTCCTTAAAGCTCAAATGTTAATGGGAATAAGGAGAAAAGGACTTAGCTTGAGAATACTAGCTAGAAAATACTTGCCTAGAAAGGCAACAGCAGAAGCCAGGACAACCGTGGCACTGAGGTGGGTGTCAAGATAGCTGTGGTGTTTTTGCTCTCTGCAGACATTGCACCCAGCCGTTTCACCTCCTTCTGTCCACACTGTATTTTGTCTGCTTGAATCTTAATCCTTTTGGAGAAGGGAGTACATGGGTCATCTAAATTATACTTATAGTACCACTAAGAATAACAGTTGTGACATCCAAATCTTCGAAAAAAGTTCACAACTGCCAGGGCTTTTGTTATAATTCATTGGAAAAAGGAAACATGATTTCTGACCAAAAAGAAGCCTGACTCTAATCAAATCCAAGATAGGATTCGTGCTGAGGTAATTCAAGGGAGATTTATATTTCCCTGCTGACCTGACAGACCCTTAGCCCCGAAGCAGTCACACTCTGCTGCAGCTCATGTCCTCACAATTTCCCTGATGGAAGGGGAAAGTATCCACTTTGGTCTTGCACACAGTGGAGCTGGATGTAGCACAGAGGGGTTGTGCTTTCTGCAGTCTCTGGACACCGTTGAGTGAGATGCAGCATCACCATGACTCAGAGGAAATGTCCTTCAGTGAGTCACTGTCACCACTTCCAGCAGAAAAGATAGATAGCCTTGAACCATCAAGCTCTCTTTATGCTCTCCAGGAAGGAGTCATCTCCTAAATGCTTGTCTTCCCCAGCCCTGACTTACTGAAGGTGGTCAGACTAAAGCAGTTTAAACAAATCCAGCTTGCCTTCTACCCTTCAAATCTCCCTCCTTAAACCCTTTCAGTTCTCCCTGTTTTCTGGTAACTGGGGAAACAAGGGAAGAACAACTGTCACCCATTTCTTCAGTCCATTCCTCAGCCTCCATTTCCTTGGCAAGCACTGAGTCAAACACCTTCTCTCAAGTAAGCTCCTTACAGCAGGAACTGTCTTGGAGGTCTGTCTGATTCCCATCCCTTGGAGCACTGTAGACAAATCCCTTACAAAAGGGCTACTTTTCCATGACCCTTAAGATGTCTCTTAATAGACCCCAAATGGCTCTTTGTAGATCAGCACACTGGCACACACATGGCAACTGAGTCAAGCAACTTGCACCAAAATCTACAGACCCACAAATCTGTGCTCTCTATTTGCTTTTTAAATTTGAGGCCATTGCCCCTTTTTCATATGATTTATTTCTTTGTGTGCTAGTTTGGGCAGCACAAAGGTAGGGAGTGCAATGGAGAGGCTCATACTTGTATTCTTCCCTCAGTGTTTGTTTGCTAAAGTCAGTGGTTGCACCGTCCTTCAGAAAATCCAACCTGAGTACTTTTCACATTTGACCTCATGTTCTCCATTTGCTTAACAAGTATGAAGTAACTAAGTTATTGCTGCTTTGACAGTCATAATTTTTCAGTTACCTGAGTGCTGTGTGCCGGTAAACCTTCTATTTTAATAATTTTTAATATAAAATTGCTTTGGTGATTTGGGGTTTTTTTTGGCATTTTTTTATCCCTCTCCCCCTACAAAGAAGCAAAATAGCATGTTGTGAACTCAAATGCTGAGTTTCCTCCTGAGCTGTACTTCCCCTAGAGACCCAGTGAACCAGTAGACATCTCTTGAATCTAGAAAGGCAAGTCCTCCCCTAGACTGGAGAGTGTTGAGGTGGCCCTGAGTCCCCAGGCAGTTGGAATAGCATCAAATCAAACTTCAGAGATGTAGCGTAAGAGCTGTTTTGCATTGGTGGCTGAAGCATTCATTGTAGTCTACTGAATATTATGAAGCCAGGTGTCTCGCTCACCAATTTGGCTTGGTAGCCTAGGTCAGCGATGATGGGTTTGTACTAAAATGCTAGAAGTGGTCTAGGTCTGCTGCGGGTAAAATGGCTAGAGCAAAGGGACTAGGGGAAAGACTGAGCAGAAGGGTGCTGATATTCCACAGAGCTGTTCACCAGAAGTTGGTAGCCTGTGGCTTGTTTGGTTTGTTTGCTGTAGCCCTCTTGCTGTTGTCTTCTAGGCAACAGGGGTCTGGGGCCATGGGCTGCAGCCAGACTCGGAAGGCCTCATGGTGCTTCAGGGCTTCTCAGGGTTTTCCTGCAAGTGAAAGAAAAGAAAAAAAAAAAGGGGGTGTGTGTAGGAATTAGAAAAAAAACAAAGAAACCACCAGTTGGCTTCAGTGATTTTATTTTTACTCTACTAAGTTAATGCATGATACATGTTTCAAAATTCCTACTTTCTTTTGTAACTGAGGTCCTAACGCTTACAGTGGTGGATAGGACTGAGAAAGGACAGCAAAGTTTGGCTCCAGCTATGTAATTATTAGAAAGTGCTACAAATAATTACACAGCAAAGAACAGGCAAATCACCAGAGTCAAGACATTTTCTGGGTGAGGATGGGATGAGTATTTTTCACACTCTTAACATAGTTTCATCAGCAGTGAGTAATGCCGCACTGTATGTGCCTTCAGTGGGCTACCTTTCATGGAGGTGAGAACAAGAAAATGTGTTTGGTGACATATCCATCTCTCAGGTCACAGATAAAATACAGGATACTGAATTTTGGATCTTCTGCTTTTAAATCGCCACCCCTTTCTCTGTTGGAGGAGAATTTAATGAATTGTTCCTACTATGTAAGGAAGAAAAATATCTGATGAATGTGAAAAGACTTCTGAGTTTGCAAATTCACAAGCAGCCCATGCAGGTTTAGTCTCTTCTCAGTACTGGATTATATTGGCCTATATGTGATTCCCATGGATTCTAGCCAGCTAAAATTTTTCAGCAAGTTATTTTGTGGTGTTTTCCCCGTTCTGACTGGTTCCCACCAGAGGTGCGATGCGAGTGTGACATTAGCAGACTGCTCATGATTGCTCGTGATTGCTTTTACCCCATTAGCCTGCACTTGTCAATATGTCAAAGGCACATTGAAAAAAAAAAAAAACCAATAACTGAGAAGAGCCCTATTTTTAATTCAAGACAGGACCCGAGGTAACCGGCGGTAGGCCGCTTTGTGAAGAGCGTGCTTGCTGGTGCAGAGTCCCAGCCCCCAGGCGCTTTCCCCGGAGGGATTACCCTCCTCCCACCAAGGCGGCCCTGATTGAAGTGTAGCGCGGCAGCGATCGCGTCTCTCCCCGCGACACCTCGACACGGAGCTAAGCGGGGCAGGCCGCCTCGTCACGGGCCACGCCCGCTCCTGCGGGCTGCCTCTGCTCCTCCCCGCCACGGCCGCGTGCGGCTGCTGGTTCTGCCTGAGCTCGGGCATTCCCACCTCTGCTCGTGCACAGCCCCCTTCCCTGGCTGTCAATGAGCGCCTTGAGCCAAAGGAGCTTCATGTGTCACCCCAAGACACACAAACTGCCTCCTGCTTTCTTCCCATTCAGAGGTGTCCGGAAAGTCCCTGTGGTCCCCTCAGCTTTTTCACCTCTTCTTTGTACCAGAGGAGAAGCACAGCTCTGGCTGAGGTTGCTGTGGGGCTGGTACAATACGAAGGGAATGTGACAAGACTTGTGGGATGGAATAACTTTCCTGCGCTGGGATGGAGGGGATGTGTATGTGCTGCACAGAGGAATGGGGATGAGCAACCAGGGAAATCTTATCACTTGCCTTTGCACTTCCAGGGAACGCTCTTTGTCAGGGAGATGAGGCTTTCTCTTTTCTGAAATAGGTTAATTGTGTTGCTTCCTTTTGCAGATTTGTTTTGGCTTTTTTTTTTTGTGTGTGTGTTTTCCCTTTCTTTCTGCCTATCTCAATCTGTTTGGGGTTTTCTTTGAGAAGAAATAAAGGCTGTTGCATCCAATCTAAAAAGGTCAGGCTGAGGGAGGCAGAGCACCTACCTTGGGAGTACTCTCAGGCTTTAAATGTTAGGCATTATATGAAGCAGTCAGAAACAGATTATATTGAAAAAGTCAGAAAAAAAATGGCTACCCCTACAGTTATAGAGCCCCTCCTCATTGCCACATCTCTTCCATGCTTGCAATTCCTAGTTGTTGGGAATCACCTCTGCACCATTCCTGGCCAAAATGTGCTCATGTGTGCTAAATAAATATCACAGTTCTTGTCTTCCTGGCTTTTCCTTGGCAATTTCTTGCCTAAGGCACTGAGCAGCCCACTGACCCATCTTGCTGGAGAGCTGTCCAGATAGGCTAGGACAGTGCCATGAGAGGAAAGGATGCTCTCCAGCGTGACCCTCCCACCGGTGCCCCAGGACGGCAATGACATGGAGGGCAATGTAAAGACAGCACGCAGCCCCTTCAGCCCTGTGTAAATCTGTCCCTGTGGCTGTGACAGTTTCAGGTCTGTGATGCATGTAATGCTACTGATGATGTAAGTACAACATGCTTAGATTTTAAAAAGCTGGCCTTCCTTTTCCCCCCTGATTTTCAGGAACCAATGTTATGGCCAATTATCTGCATGTGCTCTAATTATGGGGTGAAAAGGGAGGCAGTGCAAAGAGGAAGGAATAAATTGGGCCAGTCCTCTCAACACATCTCTCTCCACCAAAGAGAACAGCAAAATTAGATTGATCCCTTTCCTTCTGTGCCTGCTGCTCACCAAGATTTTCTCCTTTCCCTCGGGTAGAAATACAAAGATGTGGAGCCAACTTTGAAGATTAAAGAGGTGGACGGCTTGGAGCTGGTGAAGAAGTTCTCAGAGCAGATGGAGAGCATGCTCCGCAGGAAGGTCGAAGCTGTTGAGGTAGGACCATGGGGCTGGAGGAAGCACGGGCCCTCCTGCTGGCCCTGCAACAGCAGGTGCTGACCCATCCTGGGCCTGTGGTGTGTGGGTGTAGAGGTTGCCCAGGGCTTCCTCACCCCTGAACGCCTTCTGCTGCAGCTGGCGCCTTCTGAGGTTTAAGTAGACGCTGGTGGGAGGCTGTGGGCGTGCAGACAAGGGAATACTGGTTTCTCTCTTAGCCCAGAGTAAGAAATAAGGAAGAAGGAAAAAAAAAAGTCTAGAAATAAATATGAGGGAATGAATGCTCTTTTGGGAGAAGGAGGCTTAGCTCTATAGATGTTTGAACAGAAGAAAAAAAAGCCTTGCACAAATGCAAATGGAATTCATCTGTGCGTAATATTCTCTGGCCACTGAAGACTACTAGCTCATTTCAGCTCTGTGTGGCTTGGGGGAAAATTCTTGCAGCCCTTGAACATGAGCAGCAAGTAACACACTTGGATTTCCAGCTGTGTGCATGGGCAAAGTTGGAGGAGACAACAAATATTCTTTAACTGTTGCTGTATTGAAGATGAGAGCAGGTAATTGTTAGAGCCCCCTCTTCTTGCATTCAAGGATCTAATGTACTCCTTTATATTTAGAAGTCTATTTCTGTAGTCACAGAGCTCTGACAGCTTAAAGCATTTAATGCATAAAAATGATCCAGAAACACATCATTTGAATCTCAAAGCTAAATTTGGGCATGTTTAGACTGAGGGCTTTGGCCCATAACATTAAATTCATAACCAGACTTTCACAGTGTTTGGATTGCCTTATTCTTTGTGAAGCACCAAAAAAAGTAGTTTTGCTGAGACTGCCACTAATTGTGGAACTCTGAAAACTTGTACATGTTTGGCTGGATTCCTTCCTGGTCTGTATGAAGTGAGAAATAGTGCCCTGAAGCATGAGACTGGAGAATACCAGTGATTATTTTGGCTTCCAAAAATGGCAAAAGTGTATAAACGGCCATAGCATCACTGAGCCCTGTAAGAAATCAAACTGTGGTCTTTTGTCTCAGTAACAATAGCAGATTGATACTCCCATCAGGCCTGTTCCTTTGACAAGGTATTGACATCAGGCTTGCTCTGAAATGCCTTTCCCATGGATTTTTTGAAACTCCCCTGGAAAATGAAATTAAATCCCTGCCTGTTTTTTGTCTAAATGTGTCATGTATCTGCATGTGTGTGTCCTGTGATGACTATGATTGCTCAGGAGGTTACTAGGAACTCTGGAGTTAGTAGACAGGAATATGTTCAGAAAGAAATCACTGTGTATGTCTTCCAGGTTATAACACTGGAGTACAGAATGACAGGCCAGCAGGAAAAGGGGGAATCAGGAAAGTTTATAGCCCCTACAGCTTTTTTCTGTGTGGATGGAGGTGGTCCTTGTCCTCTAAGTGTGGTTAGGAAATAACTGATGCTGCCGGAAAAACTTCTTGTGTGCTTCCCACAGCAGCCCTCATCTTTCTTTGTGTTTACATTAGAGGTTGGTGGAGGCAGCAGAAGATGCAGATCTGAACCATGAGTACAATTCCTCACTAGAGGTAAGTAAGGATGAAGGGAGACATTCTTCCTTTCTTCCTTTCTTCCTTTCTTCCTTTCTTCCTTTCTTCCTTTCTTCCTTCCTTTCTTTCCTTTCTTTCCTTTCTTTCCTTTCTTCTTCTTCTGCTCTTTCTTTCACTCTTGATGAGCTCCTGTTGCTTGGAGCAGCACAGCAAAGGGGCTATCCTGGTTGCATTTGCATTAAGAGTTACTACAGTAGATATAACTACAGAAACAGGACAAGTAAGCTCAAAATCAGTGCACGCTGTAACAAAGCTCAGGAGCCAGACACAGGAAGATACTTCACCTTTTAGCTAATCACTTAAATATCTCCGAGCTGTGGAACCATGGCAATCTTTCACCGTGTCCCGTTTGCTCTTCAGGGTCTTCCAGTCTGAGTACTGATGTCAGTTGTGACGTTGCTTCATCACATGTGGGCACCTGGCGGTGAGAAATTGGACAGAAACCAATCATTTGGTTAGCTCGTCACTTTTCAGTTGATAATGGCTCTGATTTGCTGATCATATTGACCTGATTTGAAGGCCAAATTCTCCAGATGTCCCCTTTTTATATTTTTTTCTGACAGTACTGATAATAATCTGTCTTATTCTTTCTCCTGCTGTCTTTCTCTTTTCCATTGTCTTCATCAACAGTTTGATTACTACAACTCTGTCCTGATTAATGAGAAGGATGAGAATGATAATTACGTGGAACTCGGAGATGAATTTATTTTGGAGCCAAACGAGCATTTCAATAATCTACTGGTGAACACAACATACAGTGATATCCAGCTCCCCACTAATGTCTACAACAAAGGTAATGGACTCCATTGGACTCTACTTTCTCACTACCAATCGGCTGCTGTAGAAGCTAACAAGGAGTAATAACACTGAAGGATGATGGGACAAGAGAGAAAAAGACAACTGACAGAAAATTGTGTTAGTGTGTTGGGTGACAGGCAGCTGAACATGAGGCAGCAGTGGGCCCTGGTGGCCAAGAAGGCCAACGGCCTCCTGGCTTGTATGAGCAACAGTGTAGCCAGCAGGACCAGGGAAGTGATTGTCCTCCTGTACTCGGCACTGGTGAGGCTGCACCTCCAATACTGTGTTCAGTTTTGGGCCCCTCACTACAAGAAGGACATTGAGACACTCGAGTGTGTCCAAAGGGGGACAAGGAAGCTGGTGAAGGGGCTGGAGCACAGACTGAGACAGCTGAGGGAGGTAGGGTTATTTAGTCTGGAGAAAAGGAGGCTCAGGGGAGACCTTATCGCTTTCTACAACTACCTGACAGGAGGTTGCAGTGAGGTGGGAGTTGATCTCTTCTCCGGAATAACTATGGATAGGCCTCAAGAGGAAATGGCCTCAAGTAGCACCAGGAGAGGTTCAGGTTAGACAATAGGAAGAATTTCAACATGGAAAGAGTAATTGAGCATTGGAACAGGCTGCCCCGGGAAATGGGGGAGGCAACATCTCTGTCACGTGTAGATGAGGCACTTCTTAGGGACATGGTTTAGCAGGCAGGGTGTTGAGAGGTTTATGTTTGGACTCGATGATTTTAAAGGTCTTTCCCAACCATAATGATTCTATGAAAACAAAGCTGTCCCCCTTGCACGTTCACACAGCTGCAGTCTGCACACAAGAACCTGGCCCATCTTGGGCAGGCCTCCACAGTCTCACCTGGAAGCTGAGGCACCTGGTGACAATTGCCCTTAGGTTGTTGCTATTTCCTGTCAGGCAACTGGTGACAATTGCCCTTAGGTTGTTGCTATTTCCTATCAACATTTGAAGCTGCCTGAACTGGCTTTTTGATAGCCTGTCAATCAGTTGTTCTTCTTGCAAACATTTGGGGGAAAAAAAAAAAAAAGCTCCATTACTTCTCTCGTAGACTGAGCCCATTTTCAAGCTTCAGGACCAGGCAGGGCAGGCATTGACAATTGTGCTCACAGCTGCTACATTATTTAGAGGGACAATAGAGGGGCTTTTTTTCTCTCACTATTTTAAATTATTTACATCTGGTCTGACAGCCTCAGACAGTAAATTTTTGTGCACAAAGATCCATGTGACTCCAGGACTTTTCATATGGAGGTGTCCCACCCTGGTCAAGAACAGCCTAACTTAGGATTCAAAACCACAGGAGTGCAGAGAGTTGGAGCAGCCATCTGTCTTGTCAGCAACCCTCCTTCGGCCCTTCATCTGATGCAGCTCTGACCCCTGTGATGTCTGTGGGGCCTTGGATGGTTTGGTTGAATTGATGAGTGCTAATACTATTCAACTTAGTTTTGCTGCTGGATTTAGGAGTAGTGTACCACTGAGCTGACAGTAAATCTGTAAATTGTCAGTTTTACCAGCAGCAGAGCTGGCTGCAGGTGAACATAGCGTGGGCTGGTGCCTCCTGCGGCGCATGTAGGTGGCCAAAGGGCTGCTGCAAGAGGCAGTCGTTGTCCTTGCCCGCTCCTGGAGGGAGAGGCACTGCCCAGCCAGCTGTCCTCCTGTCTGTACAATGCCTGGGAATAGTCACTCCCTCCCTGGCAAATGCCAGCAGGAGACCAGGGCTCGTTCTCTGCCGCTCTTCTGGCTCCCCTTCCTGTGTGAATTACTTTGGCTTCATCACTGGGGAGCTGCAATTCAATTTTGTCCCTATCTTTCATAAAGTGACTGAACGGGAAGTGGTGGGTCGCAGCCCCATCCTGTTCAACAATAATGCGGTTAATCCTACGATTAACCACTTTCCTATAATTCCCTTATCCCACTCCTGCTGCTCCATTTGATCTCCTGAGGCACTGAGTCAACATCAGATACTACCTATACGTGGCCTCCTATGAGTTCATGCAATCTTGGAGCTTTATATTAATTCTGACAAGTTCAGGGGCAAGTGAGAACAGCTCAGGCTTTGTGTAAGAAATGGAAAGAAAGGGAAGGCAAGGAAAGAGCAGAATCAAAGAAACATGAGGGGAAACGGGAAAAAGATGCCATGCAAATCACAGGGCTCCTCCGTCTTGGGGAATTAAGACATACTGCAATGTGTCCTGTAGAGATTTGGGAACTGCCATAAATTTTAAAACTCTTTGTAGGAAACCTTAGCGGTGTGTCAAGGCCATAGGTGTCATTTTGAGGCAAGTGATTCTAGTAAGGGAGCCTGGATTTCTGCAGAGCACAAGCATGAGTTTTTCCAGGGCTCTTTGTCCCCAGCTTCCTTTTCTATCATCTGGGATGAGAGGCTTCCTCCTCTTTTTTGCACACTTCCCCCCCACCATTTCCATTTCCATTTCCATTTCCTTTTTTTTTTTTTTTTTTCCATGCAGACCCTGATATTCTGAATGGAGTTTACATGTCAGAAGCCTTGAATCCTATTTTTGTGGATAATTTTGAAAGGGACCCCACACTGACCTGGCAGTACTTTGGCAGCTCCACTGGGTTCTTCAGGCTTTATCCAGGTAAAAGAGAGAATATCTGTTCTGCTCTTCCAGCTCAAAGCATGAGTGTTGCAGGAAGGGGAATGTGCTGTTCAAGAGCCCAGTCTGGGAAGCTTGGTCATGCACAGTGACCAAAAAGACTGGATGTTCCACCTTTGCCACTTAGGTAAAGGAAGAGCATCCATGGCAGACACAACCTGCCTTATTTTTTATGTGGACTAACCTCCCAGCGATGTTGCATTTATATCCCAGAGGAGCCTGCTGCTGATTCTGCTTCCGTGTGCTTCAGGCAGATTGCCCTCTAAGAAAGTCCACGAAACACCATGATGGGGTCTTCACACCCCTCAGACTGGATTTGGAAGTCATGCAGCAGCTCCCAGTCTCATTCTCCGGTGATTTTTAGCTACAGCTCCACAGGCTCTCTCTGTCTCCAAGACCATACGTGCCAGATGTGCTGAGCGACCTGACTTGCTGTGCCCTCCCCAGCTGTGAGCGGCATGTAAGGTCACGGAGCGAGAGGGAGGATCCACGCTTGGAGGAGCCCACAAGATCCTCTGCAGCTGTAACTTGGCCTTGTCTCCCCTCTGTCAGATGGCTCTTGTGGCCTTGTTGTGTGACCTGTCATGTGCCTTAGAGGAGGAAAGTAGAGATGACAGTGACAGAGCCTTCAGTAAAGAATCAGGGGCATGTCCCCATATCTGCTGCTTTTTTGTGCTTATCCTTTGCATCTCCTTAAAGAGAAAATGCTGCTGAGAACTCCATCAGAAGGGCAAAAAGCTTAAAGTGTAACTGCTCCCCAAATCTGAATAGATTTTACAGGTGCCAGCCAATGCTGGATGTATTTTGAACAGAAATTTAATTATCAGTTTCCTGAGAACTGCCAAAGACCATGCAGCTCTGCTTCCATTTCTGCTGAATGGCAATTGCTACTGCTGGCCAGACTTGTATGTCCTTGCAGGGTCTCAGCATGAATAAGAAGTGCTGGTGCCTGGGGAGCAGGGAGAAGATGCCTCTTTCTGTGCTTTGATTGTTCCTTTTGCTGTTCCCTTCAGGAATAAAATGGTTACCAGATGAGAATGGAGTCATCTCCTTTGACTGCAGGAATCGTGGCTGGTAAGACTTTTGGAGGAACTTAGTCAAAGCATTCTTAATGCCTTTTTTGCTCCCTCTTTTCCATCCTTTTCCCTAATCTGAACACCAGGTAGCAAAACAGCAGGGGAACAGACCTTGCCTGGTGACATCTTGGTGAAGTAGCTACTGCCCCGTGCTGCTGCTGGGAAAGCCGAGGGGTACGTGAACTAAGGCACTGCCAGGTTAGGGGGTCTGCCTTATCACCTGCAGTGCCACCTTTCTGTACAGGCATTAACATGTGCCAGAGGGAAATGACCACAAATGTTTCCTTCCTCTGTCCCATCCTCAGTACAGTTTTGCAACCAGAGAGTCCGGGCTCTTCAGACTCTGGGAATGTGGGGCACTTATTCAATCTATTCAGCATGTTTAAAGGACAGGTGAGCAATTGTCACTCTCGGCAGCATCTGGAATTATGTCCGTAGGCCCAGCACTTGTCAATGCAGCAAAAGAAACAGTCGTGCCAGTGGGGCAGCGAAGTAGGGCCCTGCCCCAAGCTTGCACCTTTCTGCATGGGGTACCACATCAGATCCCCAGCCCAGCGCTGCCAGATAGCTGCACTTGTGGTACATGTGATACTAGGGTTTGTGTTTTCCCTGCTTCAGTGCAGTGCTCTTCTTCTAAAGGTACATCCAAGCAGCTACTTCTCCCAAAGACATTGTAATTATTGTGGATGTCAGCGGGAGCATGAAGGGCCTGCGGATGACCATTGCCAAACACACCATCATCACTATTTTAGATACCCTGGGAGAAAATGACTTTGTCAACATCATTGCGGTAAGTGTGCCTCATTTCCAGTGCAGAGTTGTCTTTTGTCCCTTGTGTCCCCTTAGCAAACTACAGGCATTGCAGTGGTATAACTACAACCACAGGATTGGCTGGATGAGAGATTAAAATGAATATCCCCTAGAGGTCAGCTTCATGTGGTCGTAGGGTGGTTGCTCAGTCATCTCATTGCCTCTATCTAGGATGTCAGCTGCATCTTTTTGCTTAGGATGTGACTGCAACAGATAGCAAAGTGCTGTAAAGGGATACCTGAGCTGACGGGGACCCGGGTTAGTAAGCTGACATAGCAAAGCAGAACATGACACTGTGCTTTGGGTCAGAAGTGGTATAAACCCCAGCATAATGTTTCCAGGTCAGGAAATTACTGCCATATGCCATTTTGTGCACCAGTGAAGGCTGGAACACAGTGCAGGGCTGATTTGCAAAGCCATGTAGGGTGTTAGGTCAGGTGATGTAGGAGCTTCTCTCTCTCTTTATGACCATGACCAGTATGAGGGTGGGCTTGTTACTTGCAGAGGACCAGCAACACTGACAACAGAAAGCAAAATTTTGACATGATCCACATCAGGGCTGGGAGTGGGAGGATTGTGCCAGGTTAAAGGCAAATGGCAGCTTTCCTCATAATTTTCAAAGCAAATTCAAGCATCTCTCCTCAGGCTTTCCAACACAAGTTTGTATGGGCATGATCACCAAGATACAGTCTAGTTTTTGTTGAGAGCTTCTCATTGAATAAGATAGTTGGAAACTCCAGTAGTGACAGCTCTGTCTTTATATGGGTGCGTAGATGGAGGAGAACAGTGTTGGCAGAGAATGGAAAGGAAGTCATGAAGGACCTGGAAAGGTCTTCTGATCTTAAAAAATAAATAAATACAGAAAGATCATATAATATGGTTTTTTTTGTTAGAGCTACAACGAAAACCTATTGACTCAGACACTATGTAGTCTGATCTAAACTCCTATTCATATACAGAGCCTTGCTAACCATCTGTGCCTTCGTAGCCCACAGTAAAATACACTCATCTGGACCTTAGTGGAAGAGGTTTATCCTGGCATGTTTTGCATCCTGTCTAGCAGCACACATCACTGATTATTACAGTTAGCTGATATGGGGTAACTTGCTCGTTGTCATCATTCAGCCATGTGACAGAGACATCAGAGCTTAAGCTAAAGTCATTTGCAAGGTTCAGCTGATGGCTGGAGACTCCAGAAATCAAAAGCATGTGCAAATAGTGCTGGAATCAAGGTCAGAGGCACAAGCTAGTAGGGTATGCAGAGCTCTGGGATGTCTGAGTGGAAAAAAAATAGTTATTGTACTTGTGGATGTGCCCAAAGAGAACTTAGCAAAAAAATCATAATTAAAAAAACAGGATTTATCAATATTATAATTGCCCTGAATTCTATGTACAATTCTAAAGAGAAAAGGGATAAAGTAGCATAATACTCATTATTGTCCTTCTGAACGTCCACTTAAAAATCCCGGTTTTGTGTTCCCCTACCCCTTTCCCCCATTTTAACCCCTTCCTTTTCATTTTGTCTTTGCAGTACAATGATTATGTTCATTTTATTGAGCCCTGTTTTAAGGGTATCCTGGTCCAAGCAGACAGAGATAACAGAGAGGTGAGTACCAGACTCCTATTGATACCAATAGGTTCGCTCTGTTAGTGTAATAAGAACACAGGCTTAGGATGCTATGGCATGAAAATCCAGGGATGAGAAACAACCATCTCCTAAAAGCACGTGGGTTTGCATTTCAGGAACAGGCTCCAATGCAGTGCTGTGTCCTGACTCCTCACTGTGCTTTTGCCTTTGCAAAGCTGCTGTAATACCAGGGCAGCTGCCAACAATCAGTTTCCTGAGGCCCCAGTACACACTGCACCACTTCTGCTGGAGCACAGGTGAACCTGCCATGGAAAAAAACACAAGCAGAAGGCAAAGGTTCTCTGCAACCCCATGTTCTCAGCCCTCAGAAAGGAGGAAAATCAGCCCTTTTCCAGTGAAGGCGTGCTCAGCCTGGCCTGACCCACTGCCAGGGTACCTTCCCAGCGGGCTTTCTGTGACTTGGGCTTTTGCTGCTCTGATCCAGGAGTGTTCAGCAGCTGCAGCCCTGAGGTGGTCTGTCTGTGTCTGACTGCTCCACCACCCTCTGGCTTCACTCATATTTTTAGCTCTTTTTTTTTTCCTCCTTTCCCTCTGTGAATTAATATGATGAAGTAGTACATCCTCACATGGCCCATTCCACGTGTTCAACAACTAGCTTTCTCTCCAAGTTTCTTTCCTAGTTCAGCTCCAGAGGGTGATGCCTCAACAGAGTTTCTCAAGGGATCCTGCAGCCTTTTCTGGGGGAGAATGCTGTCCATCTTATGGGTTTCTCTCTGAGGGTTTTATTTACAACCAAATCAAACCAAATGAAAATCTAACCAATTTCTAGGTTAGATTTTCTCCACAGAAGTGCCCTACCTGCCACCTGCAGGTTCATCACTGCAACTCATCACTACTTTTCTGTCTCTCTTCTTGCCAGCACTTTAAGCAGCTGGTAGACGAATTGCAGGCTAAAGGAGTGGGCGCTGTGAACAAAGCCCTGACAGAGTCCTTCAAAATCCTGAGGGAGGTAAGAGAAACGTGCAAGGTGCGCCTGCCCTGGGCCCACCCCACCTTCCCCTCCACTTCCAACAAGCAGCACAGCACTGTGGGGAGAAGTGATGTGAGCCCATCTCCAGGGTTCTGAACACAAAACCCAGCATTGCGCAGGGCAAGCTGGTTTTAGGGACAGCCCAGGTTGTGCAGAAGGCCCTGGTTTGTGTGTGATGGCCCTGAGCAGTTCAGGAGGGCAGCAGCATGGGCAGGGACTGTCAGGGAGATGCTGGCAGGAGCAGCACCTGCAGGCACGGGAATCAAGATGCTCATGGGCTTTAAATGTGAGGGAACTTTCTGTTTTCTACTGCAATCAGACTCTTGTTTCCTGTGAGAGTTAGGGGCTGGGGATCTGATCTGGTATGCACCCAAAATAATTGGGGTAATTGGGCAGAAGCTGGTCAGGCTGTGGCCTTGTGTTTCCTTAATGAGCCTGCAGCCTGGCACGGGCCCAGGGCGCCCTGAGGAGCGCGCTGCGGTCCTGTGGCTAAGGGCTGGGGCCCTGGGCACGATGCCCAGGTGGGAGAGCACTGCCTTCACCCGAGTGAATAGTGCTGGGAGTGTGGGGCTGGGAGACACCCTGGTTATGGATGCTGGCAATAAAATTTAACTGGCAAGTTCAGGGCAATAATTCTGATCATATTATTTATGTAATGTTATTAGTGAGCCTCGGTAAGTAGGTTATGGTGAAGACATGAAAGATTATTCTCAGGATTTAGATTTATTTGAATGTTACTCTTCTGAGGATCAGGGCTCTTTGTACAGAAGAAACCACAGGTACCAGGGAATTAATCAAAATCAGTGTCATCGTGTCCTGTGATAAGATTAGTAAATGCTCCATTGCCTTATGTGAATGACTGGCTTGTGTGAAAAATCCTTAGTATTCTGGAGGTAAACGTATGACTGAACTCTGTTTCTTAAGGAATGTTAATACAAAGAGGACCAAGAACTCAGCTTAACCCTGCCACCACCGTACTGGCATCTACCGCAGCATAGGCAGTTAGATGTCCATGCCTTTGGTGACAGAAATAAGTAACCAGCATGATGCTAGCAACACTGATGGCACTGAGGGAAAGATTCTTTCCTCTTAATTGTTTTGCAAACTGTGAGTTTAAGGTCACTGTTTATGGTAAAGTTGTTTCTAATTTATCTTAGTGCAAGTACGGTCAGAATTTTATCCCATGATGGCAGTAGCTGTCTTGTCAGTGCAAAAACAAATTTACTGGCGATCTGAGAAGAATAGTGAAGCATTGTCACTGCAATAATATGATGGCAACATTCCTAGTAATGATTCAGTATCTTTTGGAGACGATGGTGACTGAAAAGAACAGGGAAGCAGCAGTGGTATAAAGCTGGAATCCATTATACACACTAGATGTCTGCTAGAATCATCTAAGTACCACTTTGCATTTTTATGACTAAAATCATTTTACCTTTAAAATATTTGGAGCCTACATAGACTTGAGTTCATAAATCAGAATACTTAAACAGAGAATCTATTTCTTAATTTTTAATGTAGCACTGGTTATCTGCAACAACAATGGAGTAAAGAGGCAGACTCTCTCAGACAGCAAAACTTTGAGGGTTCTAGGAGGAATGGAGTGCAGGCCTGTTTGCCCCAGCTGAAATAGCAACTAGCTGTGCTAGGCATAGACACCCAAACAGGGTTGGTTCCATTGATAAGATCTCACAACTCCTCTCCAGCCAGTGTGGCCCACCCAGAGGCTTCTGACAATCTGACCCACTAGACCGGGCAAGCTTCCAGGAGGCAGGATATTATTATAAAACCCTGTGTACCTTGAGCCCGGCTGCTTGCAGCCCCGTGGATTATCCTAAGTCCACTGCAGTAACAGAGAAGCGGTTCCTCTTTGTCAGACAGAAAATATTTTTCCTCTCCATTCAGTATCCAAAATGCAATGAACAATGTAAGTAAAAATCACTTGTCTTGATCCTTGTTGATCTTGCCCTAATCTAATAAGGTCAACAAAGTAGTGAGATTTCTACTTGATTTTACAGTACCCAGTGATAAGAAACCTCCCGGATGTTGTTTACTCCAAAGGTGAGATACCACTTCCCTCCTGTCTTTCATGATCACCCCAGTTGTGAGAAGAGAGTAACTGACTTGGACATTTCAGCATCCTTGACTTGGACATCTGCAGACAAGGAAAGATGACTGGCTCTAGGTGACTCCTAGTGTCAAATTTCTCCTCTTTACACCTCGGGAGCTGCTGGCTCAGAGTGCGCTCCAGGGCTGAATCGCTCACCCAGTTGATGACGTTGATTCCTGGAAACCACCGTGCTGTCCCTGCTGGCAGGAGCAGTACAGAAAACAGCACCAGAAATCTCAGTGCCTATCCTTACATGACTAAAGGATTAGGTAGGGTCACTGCAAAAGCTCCTCAGCAAGCAGAAGGCCACTGTTGCCTACTTTGTGGTGGTACACCAATCCACAAAACAGGAATTTGCAGAAATTTGCAGGTAGAGGAGGAGTGTGGAACTGAGCTATGGACACTCATCTGCTCAGCTTTCCTTTCCCCGTAGCACTGGTTGCAGCCTTCTCACAGCGTGATGGAAGGGAGCCCCTCCACCAAAGCCATAGCTCTCATCTTTAGCAAACTGGGGCCTAAACACAAGGTGTCTGGAGCCATCAACTGGGAGACATTTTTGCAGCCAGCCATGGAAGGGCTGCATACACAGGAAGGGCTACCTTACCTCTTCAGTCACTTCACAGTAGTATCCCAGGATTTCAGTCTCATCGATGACTTTTAGAAGAGACTGATACCACATCCCAGCACCCATGTGTCAGTCTGGGGGGCTAGATGGATATACACAGGCACGCCACTGTGAAAACACCCCTGTTACTCTGCAGCAGCCTTCCCAAAACTGTCATGTTCCTGGAAAAGGCTCAGCTGGAGAGTGCCCCATACCATCAGCTGGAGGGCTCCTGGCTCAGGCAAAACAGCAGGTCCGGGTGCACCCATGCTTTAAGCACTCTCTGAAATGGTCTCTTAGAGCTGGCCAGATCAATATCAATAGTAGGGGAGGGAAAGCGTTTGCACCAGAGAGTCCTGAAACAAATGAGAGGATGGGGCAGCTGCGGTCTCACAAATAATGTGCACGGCTGAGCTGGAGAGCAGGAGGGGGAATTTGGGAAACAGCACCTCCCTTCCCCTCCAGTAAAATTCCCACTCTCCGCTTGCAATTGTGCCTGCTCCTCACAGACTGCTACACAGCACGCAAGAGAAGAAGGATGAAAATCAGCACATCTCACGAGCGAAACAGACATTGCTGATTACAGTAGACAGCCAGCAGTAATACTTACAATGAAAGCGACTGCAAAATTTCCTTGCTAATTTGTTCCTGGTCCAATTGCTCACAGAATTAATAGCCTGACAGCAACCTACTCCGTGAGGTATGAGCAGCAGAGAGGGCTTGAAGAAGAGCGCAACCTCTCACATTTTTGTTTGGCCATTATGTTCTGGGGCGGACAGGGCATATTTTAATCTGTGATACAGCTCACAGTAAAGCTTCAGGAGAGTAGTTAGTCAGCACTTCCCCTGCCATGCTGGGTAAGCCACTTAAACTCTCTATTTAAATTTAGCCACATACCGAGCAGTTTCAGTCAAATTTGCATCACAGGGAGACCAGGGTGTTAAACACACATTTATAAAGTACTTCAAAATTCTCAAGCATCAAGTGCTACCTTTGAGTTCCTTTCTTGTTTTCATGTTTTATTCTACCTCACTGCAAACTTCTCTTTGTTTCAACAAGCTGGGCAAGTCTTGTTCTCTCCTCCTTTTCCTGCAGGATTTATAACCCTTTGTTCTGGCCAGGGCTCTGCTCTCAGCTGCTTCCACTTTCCTGCCTCTCTGAAACACAACGCTCCCGACAGTTGGCAAGTGCTGCTGCTGAGGGCTATCAAGTGCTAAGCAGGGCAGAATAATTACCTTTCTTGTTTTACACACAATAGGCCTCTTAACACAACCTCAGACATCAGTTACCTTTCTTTAGACACTGTCACATTGTTAATTCATATCCAGCTGATCTGCCTTTGCGGTGCTCCTTCCCAGACAGTCTCAGTCTCCTGTGAGCTTGTTATTCTGTTTTCCAGTGTAAACCAGTTGTAAGTCAATTTATATATTTATGTAGATATGCCATCTAGTATTTATGTGTGTATTTACATATGTGTATATGTATATTTATATGTAAACATGCTCACACCCTGCCCTAATCCCGAGAGCCGTATATACGTTCACACATTTATTATATACGAATCTCTTAAAACAATGTATTGAAAAATCTCACTGTTACTGGTTCTCCCTTCTCAGGATCTACTTCAGAGTAAATACGTTTTCTAAAAATTGCTATTTTTTTGACTGTGGAGGGAAAAAGATCCCAGGTTCTGTTCTAGGGGGCCACCTTAGAATGATCTTTCCTCTTAACAGCAACCTGTTGTAATGCTGCCTTGGTTCATGGCTGAACGCAGAAGTGACATAGTTTATGAGGTCTGTTATGAATAGGTCACTCAGAAATGAGTGTAGGTGAGAAAATGGTGAAATTGGTACTAAATTGGTTTTCAGTGAGGTATAAAATTCTGTGCATCTTCAGCAGAACTGATGATGCCTAAAGAATAAACCCATCTGCTGATGCAAGAAGTCAAAGGAATTTGTGCTGTCTTTTGTCCAGCCTGCATGGGGAAACATTCCCCTTCTGCACTCACACAAAGCAGTATTACTAATTTTTCTAGGAATGTGCTGGATGTTTAAGGTCAGTTCATTCATCTAGTTTTTTTCCCTTCTTTTCAAATATTTTCTGTTGATTCCCTCTTGTTCTTTGCTATCTCAAACCGTCTCACTCAGATCTCAGACCATGTAGTGATCAGAGTTTGGACTAGGTGATCCTCAGAGGTGCCTTCAGCCCCCAGCCTGTGATTCTGCAGTCCAGTACCACCTTTGGCAGTTCTGCCCCTTCCTGATGAGCAGTTTGCTTGAATACATTCTATTGTTTCTGCCTTTAACCATACCACTTTATGATTCTGCCTGTAATTCCTTCCTTCCTTTGTTTCTTAGCACTTCAGCATGTACCCAGCCGTGACAATATTGGCTTTTGGATGGTGAAGCACAGAGGCCATAAAGCCTCAGCCTTCTGTTGTTTATCATCTGCCATGTACTCCCTTTACTCCCTTTCTTGCTTCTTATCTGAATGTTTATAAGTCTCCTCCTTGATCTTGTTTGCATCTTTATGGACCTGGATTTTGCAGCATATTTTTCAGCATGCAAAAATCTCGGGGTTTCCTATTTACCAGATATTTTACTTAATTCCATCTCTCATTTCTTTATCATTGGTTTCCTGTTTCTTTCTCTACTCTTAATTTTCTCCTTAGGGAACAATCCACTAAGTTTGAATTTCCACTAATTCCAGAGGCCAGGGGTGGAGAGTGCGGCATCCCAGCTGCAGGGCTGTATCCAGCTGCAGCGTGAGGAGGTCAGGAGGAGATGGAGAGGGGCTGCTCGTTCATCTGGCCAGATGTGTGTCTCGTTTGTCAGTGCACACATGCGCCACTGAGCTGTGCTGATGCCCCAGTGACTCTGCGCCGGGCTGTAACTGCAAAGCAAAAGGCAACGAGTACAAGAGAATCTGACCTTGAATCAAGTAGATCAGGCCTGTTACTCCTGGCAACGTGACCAAAGCTGTAGAGGAGAATAGGTAGCTCAGGGCCTCCTGCACTTGTTGCAGCCCTAGCGCACAGCTCCTCAGACGTGTCCGTTCTGAGTCCAGCTTGCTCATCGTGTCACCTTTCAGTCAGAGCAAAGGCCTGTAAAAGGCCTTCAGACGCTTTCAGGCCATTGCTGTAGCCAGGTAGGAAAGGACCTAAGAATCAGGGATTACCTCTTAGTCATTTGTTTTCTAAATCTGCCTTTTAGTTACTATTTCTATGATACTAACGATCTCATTTTCCCTGTTTAAAATACAGTCTATTTCTATAATTAGAAATGGTATGGTATTTAATTTCTCTGTATCTCAATGTTATGAAATCTGAAGTAGTGGAGAGATAAATAGTCTTAAATAGTTTCATGAAATGGTGGTTGATTTCAGTTAAGTGTTTAACTTAATAATCACCTAAATAAACCATATTGTAGATTTCAACAGACTAGAATAAACTGCTTTCATAATAAGGTTCACATACCCTCAACCTGAACCTGATTTGGACAGCATCTCCCATACCAGTGCGGCCCTATGCTCTGCCATGGATGGTCTAAGCAGTCCTCTTTTCCAGACCCCTTTTCCCTTCATATGCACCTTTTTTGCTTTCAAAATTCACTGGAAAAGTCAGACCTTGTGGAGCACATGGAGGAAGATGTGGGCGATGCCACTGTTGTGTTGGCATGACCAGAGCAGCAGAGGTGCAGCTGGTGTCTCCTCTGGATGTGCCGCTTTGGTGGTGTGAAGGAAGAGGAGCCAGTCTAACTGCCTCACTTGGGTTCATTAACCCTCATGGAAGACTTGCCTGAGAACAGTGAGTTGGGAGTGAAACAGGGACCCTGTTAAGCCACCCTTCTCTTTCATATCAGATCATCACCCCTGGTTCTGATCAGAAAGGCAAATAATGAGATTATTAAGAAATCAGGAGAGAAGGAGTCATACATGGTCCTAGTGGCAGTTGTTCAGAAGCTGTTGAGTCCAGTCTCATTGCAGTAGAGTAACGTGTATCAAGACTAATGGTATCAAGACTAATGTTGTAAGAGGCATGTATTTCAGTGGTATCAAGACTAATGTTGTAAGAGGCAGGACTGCTGACATAAATGGTGGTGATTTTTGGCACTGAACCTAGTAACTGGTGATGGTAGGAGTGGTAAAATGACTGGGGAAATCTGGCTGCAGAAGTAACACAGTACGGACCTGGCTTCCTGGCATCAGTGGTCATGATGTTGATCTGCAGGGGGATCCATATCATTGAAGGTATTTGTTTTCTGTCCTAACATGCCATTACCACACTGGAAGTGACTTGTGAATTGAAACTTAAAACACTTAACAAGTCCCAGTCCACGCTCTGCACTCTGTTTTCCCATGCAGTGCTTGCTTTGTTATACTTGTCCTACTAACTTTCCTAATTTCTAAGATACAGCTGCCCATCCACCGTTTAAAGTCGCTGCAGTGTCTGATAGAGCCTTAGTCATCCTCGAATCAATCTCCTACACACCCACTATCTCATGCCATTGCCTCTCATTAATCTCCTGAGCGGAGCTGTCATATCTTCCTCCTTCCATATTTTTAATCTGCCTCAGTTTCTGTGAACCTCCTTTGTTGATCAGCCTTTTTGTTGCTCTAAGCATGAGAGCAGAGAGATGCTCGGCAGGAAAAGAAGTACGTGCTGACATTGAGCTAGGAGGCACACCCAAGTAGCTGCTCACTTTTGCTCCCTGATGTAAGCACAGCCAGTCTTCTGCTACTTTATTTGGTGACAGCTATGATAGTGGTCCATAAAGCACTTAGTTCTCTAGAGCTGCTGCACCTGAGGACATGAGGCAAACGGCTTGCCCTCTGGAGCATTAGATAAGCAGCTTTCAAAGGCTGGTCTTCCTGCCTAAGCAGTTGGGTTATGGCTTGCCTGTAAGAGTAAACTTTTCCAACACCTGTGTGTGTGTTTTGGAAACAGAATATTTAGGTTTGTACCAGAGTCCTAGAGTAATTCTACCCTACCTTAAATATTGCTCATTCACAGATAACAGTCCTCTGTCATCACAGTGTATGGCTTTTCTATTTGGCACATCCATAGCCTATTTCAGCTCTGATGGCAGTGTCCCCCCTCTTTTTTTTCTATGTGTTCCTGCCTTTCCCTTCTCTTTATTTGACCGATTGATGGATTTAGCCTGAAATAATGACTCTGATTCCTCCTCCTCTCCTGCCATATGAAGTGATAAAAATTGCTGTCAAATCAGAATGGCAGTGTTTATGGTCAGTCTATAACCACTTTGCATGAGTGAATGCAACTGTGCAAGCTGTGAGGCAGCAGGGAATCTCACCCTTTCTCCACAGCACTTGTTTTTCTCTTGTTATTTTTCTTCTATAAAGGATCTGTGACTACCTGTGGTAGGAAGGGCTGTATAAACAAAAAATATATATGCAGCTTACAAACACAGTCCTTTTTTAAGCAGAACTCTTCCTGCAGATAGCGTAAGATTTGCATGAGGAGTCAGGATCCGGCCTGTCGTGAATAAACATGCTGTAATAACATAGAATCAGTTGCTGAAACAACTAATGCTGTTCCTGTCTCTTTTTAGTTCAGAGAAGCTGGTCAAGGAGGCTTGTGTAACCAAGCCATCATGCTGATCACAGATGGAGCAGTGGAGGATTATGAAGCTGTGTTTGAAAAATACAACTGGCCAGATCGGAAGGTTTGTCTGGGAAGTGATAAATAGAAAGGATGAGAAAAGGTGCTACCCTGCCATAGCAGGAATAGAAGACCCTGAGCCAGGCAGAGCTCAGCATTCACAGCTCCCATATCTGCATGCACTGTGCTGCAAACACAGCACGGAGCAGCCAGACAGGAGTCTGCTGGGGCGATTTTAAACGTGATAGGATCACAAATGGATATCTGTGGGGGAGGGCAGGCTTTCTTTATACACGTCTTTTTCCAAAGCTACGGGCGATCAAAACTTTCTCCTGACACAGTGATAAAGTCTGAACTGAATATTTTGTAAAAATAAACACATCTGCAAAGAATTTTAATCCTACCCATAACTGATCCTGTTTGGGAATAATTCAGCTATGATTGGTCCCATCAGTGGACACCGAAATGACCCAGATGACCTCTCTAGGTACCTTCCAGCCTTATTTACCCTAGAGTCTGGAGCGACAGAGTTGTGGTAGCAGAGCAGATGGTGAAAGTAGAATAGACTACAGCTCATATTAAACCCTCAAGATTTATTTTTTTACCTCGTCTCAGCTAAAGGCAATACACAAAGGGAAAGAATCTGCCTACAGATAGACCAGAGTGCTGCTACTAAAGCTGTTTATTTCAGGATTCATTTAATTGCTATTGGTCAAACACAAGCAAAATGATGAAGTTTTCTTCAAAAGATTCATGGGGCCAGCTGTTCCCCAAGGTAAAGGATTTTTGTGAGCTATAAACCTCTCTGCATGTGCTTGGCAAGTGCCAGCAGAGCTGCTATCATAAATCTAATAGAATTCACACTACTTTATTCAGATGATCCTGAGTGTTGCTTGGCTTCCTGGGCCTATTGTCATTGATAATAAAGTTCCAGCCCATAAAATGCAAAACAAAGATACTTCTGTCTCTGTGTGAAGGCAAAAGGTTGCTTTAGCTATTACTCTGCATCTCAAATAGGCATTCACACCAGTAGGTAATGGGATGTCAAACTTCAGCCCTTTGGATTTTGGTAGCACATTCCAGCTCATTTAGGCTAACTTTGTGTTCTTGTTGCCAGGTCCGGGTTTTCACTTACCTCATTGGCCGGGAGGTCACGTTTGCACCCAATGTGAAGTGGATTGCCTGCAACAACAAAGGTGCGGTGCAGGAACGGCTCCCCAACACCCATCGCACACCTCACGCATCGACTGCAGCTGTGGGGTCTTGGGCTGCAGTCCTTCTGTGGCTCTCCCACCACAGCTGGGGCAATTAGTTAAAAGGCTTCCTAGAAAAAAAAAATCAAAGCTTACTGGTCCATGTGAAGTGTGTCTGTGTCCAACTGACCTGAGTCCTCTGCCGAACCACCGCATTTTCTTGTCACGGTGCCAAGGGACGCTGTGACCGAGATTCATGCTGGCTATAGTCCACCTAAGTCCCTGTGCTTATTCTGTCCCAGTGGCTGACTTTTGACAATCTGTCTAAACCTCTGTCACTAAGCCTGATGTCTTTTCACTGAGATGTGAAGCAAAGACCTCTTCTTTAAAGATTTTGCAGCATTTTTTAATAAGATCTACAGGTTAACCCCTAGGCCCTGGCAAAGTTTTTTTGTACTATTGTTTTTGCTGGAATAACAGAAAGACTTCTTTCTCCTGCCCCGAATTCATTCATGGCATGACATGGCATGAATGGGACAATCCATTCAGAGTGAGAGAGTGGTCATTTGAGGCCGCTTAAAAGTCCAGTTAGTCCAAGGGATAAGGAAGAGGGTCTTTCCCCTCTTGAGTCTAACAATCAAGGAGTCATGTTTGGGCATGACTTGGCCTCAGTACATCTGGAGACAACCAGAAACCAGCAATATTTGCAAATTCAGAATCACTCTTAAAAAGGGAAAATTAAGGATTAACTAGATAGGTATATTGGCTCTTTTTCTGTCTGAGCAGTGTCTCCAGCAGACTGTGAAATGCATGGGTATGTTTGCTACTGAAAATAATTGACAGAAAAAAATGTCTAGCCTGCAGAATGTCTGCGAGTCAGGTTGTTCAAGGTTCAAACAGTCATCTGTTAGCACCATGAATCACATGTAACATTTCTACTTTTTATTAGATGAGACAAAAGCCTAGATTTTGGGTTGCATATTAATCTTCAAGATTAGTGACAGGGAATTCGTTGTGATGTTAGTTTACCATAAAATGGAAGAATGGATACAACCAAGTAAAGACCAAAAATACCTACTTATTTGCCCTAGGCTTCTCACCTACCAAATTTGAGCTCTGAAGAGAAGCTCTGAAGCTCCTTGATTTTGAATTTATAGACCTATTATATAGCTCTTATGCACCTTGTTTTCAAGCACAACAAATTTACTTCCACATCACATAACTTATCAGATCAACTGGAAAAACTTTGGAAGATAAGTTGGGAGTTTAGGCTGTGTATAGGACTGGGCAGGATAAGTGAGTAGCCTGATGTTTGCATATGCTCAGGATTGGAGGCAGCCTGATTTGGTGATGGCTTTGACTAAGACTCAAAAAAACATTGTACATCTGCTTAGCGTGATTCTGATTATTCCAAGACTCTGATGTTGAGCATTGGGCGAGGATTTTGAGAACAGCACCAATACTTTGAAATTCTCATTTTCAACAAAAGGAAGCCTTATCCATACAAGGTAGGTAAAGACATCTTTTGTAAAGAGCAGAGTAAGCTGTTTGTGTAGATATAGTCTTTGACATGCAGTATTCCAACTTTGCATGAACATTCATTTGGTTTGGAAGGGGTGTTAGGAGAGTGACTCCCACTTCTCTTTCTCCATGTAGGCTACTACACCCAGATATCCACGTTGGCAGATGTCCAAGAGAATGTGATGGAGTACCTGCATGTGCTCAGCCGTCCCATGGTCATCAACCATGATCATGACATTATTTGGACTGAGGCCTACATGGACAGTGCGGTAAGGACCTACAGCACAAGTCTTTAATTTACAAATAGGGGCTTCATACCAGATTGACAAAGGTGTTTAGACATCCAGCTCATAAATGTAGGCACTTAACTGGTCCTGTCTTCCCAACTAAATATCCTGTGTATATAAGAGTCCAAATAAAGTTTTGGAAACTATGTAAAGCCTTGAGATAGAAATTACTAGGTTCCTGCTCTGCAGAGATGGACAATATTGCTGTGCTCACTCCTGGAGTTGAGATGTATAAGCAGACCCAGATCTCCTTGAGAATCTACAGCGACCCAGGAACCCAGGACTAATCACACAGACACAACATGACTTAAGTAGTACTTCTCTGCCAGGAGGCTACCTTCTCAAGGATTAGTCATAGGAAAGATTATTTGCAGCTCAGGATATGGGTTGTGGGGATTCATTTCCTCCAGCCCATTGGCCAACTGCCTGTGGCTTGTCACTCAAAAATACAGATCTCAGGTTGGGAGGCAGGCTCACCCTTCTGCTGCTTAGGCCGGCAAGGCACAGTCATTGCGATGGCCCTGTACCCAATACTGCGGGCGAAGGACATATCACACTTACTGGGAGGGAGGCAAAGGGCTGTAGGTCCAGACTCCCACCTCTACTTGCTTTCTCTCAGGCCTACCCCAAGGGAAAAGCTGAGGCATTGGGACCACAAGGAGATCTTGTGGTGGGGTGTTGCTAAGGTGGCTTTGAAATCCAAAGGAATGAAAGACAAATGAGTAGATGATCACTGAAAGAGTCTTCCCTGCAGTTCGCAAAATAGATGACTTTTCCAAGTCATCTTTCCCATCTTTACTTTGCAGCAAGAAAAAGCTACACATCTACTTTAGGAAGTCTTTGTACTTTTATGCAGATGAAGTGTTCTCCAATATTGGAGTCTTCACAACAGAGAGGTATCTGACATAATTGTGAGATCTAGAGCTGACCAGAAGTCAGATTCCCCTCTTCCAGAAACAAATGCCATCATTTTTTACTGCTTTCTGAGGGAATTTTTCTTAAAAAAAAAAAGTGAAAATATTTCCATACATGATTTCCTGGGCTGAATTCCACTGTGGGACTGACATTCCTAGCCCAGGTCTTGCCAGCAGCAGTTTTAGGATGTCTGCCATAGGCCTGAAAGAGGTGGGGGGGACTCTCAGTTTTTATATTTAGAATTCATGGCAAAAGCTCGAATGCATTTTGAGTTGGAGTAAAACTAGCAGTTCTGAGCTCAGCTTTTTGGCAGGGAAGATGGAAGCCCAGCTCACACGTTGTATCACTCCACGCTGATGCCATGCTTAGAGTTGAAACCACATGAACCCCCAAGCCTGCTGAGCTTGCACCATCACAGTGCACAGGTCTCATGCTCATGGGAAGAGACTGGTCCCCACCTCTGTGCTGAACACTGTAGATGCAGTCCTGGTGCTCCAGCTCTGTGAGGTGATATGGGGATGCTTTCTGCTGCTGGGACTGTGCCAAGAGAGAGCTGGGCACATGGTATTTGAGGGTGCTAAGGAAAACCTCCAGAAGAACCCCTATGTAGCTATTAAAGAACCCCTGTGTATCCAGCAAGTTTATTTTGATAGTAAGCATGCTATTCCCAGCACTGATGTTTGGTGTCACACTTCCCAAGGCTGCAGCATCGTTTCTGCTGTTGCACTTGCTTGCTGCATCTCTCTCTCTCTCTTTTTTTTTTGGCTTGCCATTCTGTCCCTGCAGTCCTGCCTGTCCTGTCTTTGATTCATTCCTCCATTCATGTATTCATTCGTGTGTTCATCCATGTCTCTCACTAGCTGCCACAGTCCGAGGAGGTAACGGCACCCCTGCGTTTTGTGAGCGTGTTGTTTCCCTCGTGCCAGTCAGTGTGTCGGTGTTAGCGCAGTCACAGCTGGCCTGTACTGTACCTCTGGGGGTGGGGATGGAGGCTACGGCATCAGGGGAGCCCTATTACACTTTCAAGAGGAGAAAAGGAAATGCTGGATGTACTGGAGAGCTGTGCTGTGCTGTTGGTTCAGAACGGGTAGGGGTTATGGGTTGTGCAGTAGCTTAGTTCACTGGATCTATTTTTCCATACGCCCAGTGAGTGCTGGTGAAGTTTATTTGCTGTGTATTAGTGCTAATGTTGCTATGAATGGGAAGTTTCCACAAAGAAGTGTAAATCCTGTAAATCAAGACACAAGATTCTAATCTCCATCAAGAACTTGCAAGGACTATTGCCTGTGTCATCTGTGGTTCCTAGTCGTACGGTAACAGTGACACAAAGTCATTTTTTACCTTGCTACTTACCTGACCAAGTGAAAAATGGTAGGGAAACATTGCTGGTATCAGAGGATTACCAGGCAAGTCTGGGAGATTCCTGTGCATGTCTTGCCTCTTTTACATCCTTTCTTGGGTGTTTGCAGAATATCTATCCTCATACGTATTGGCAGCCTCTGTTACCCCCTTTCCTGTGCATGTTCTGTATCCCCTGTAGAGACAGCTTACAGTTTGTATCTCTTTGTATTGTGATTTTACCTCTTCTTGGCTATGCTTGGATGCCTGAGTAACAAGCATATACAAGCAGACTCTGTGTATATTTGTGGCTTTTAAACATTTGCCCGTGGTGTTTCTCATTCATGCTATTCATGTGTTTGCAATGTAAATGATGTGTATTGTCTGTGATTTTGCTCATGTTTGTGCTGTTTTTCTTAATTCCGTGCACCACGCGTTGGTGGTTTTTGCACATGTTGCATAAGTGCCCATGTCCGCTCCCATTGCATTGGGGGTATAAATTGTGCCACCACTTTTACAGATTCCTGTCTCTTCATTAAAACAGCTCTTTAACGTCTCTTACTTCAACACATTTCACTGGCTTTCCTCCCAGCCTCATCACCTCACACTAGCAAGCATCCGTCCTACGATCGTCTTGGATACAGAATATTGCAAAGTGCTGCCATCTGTTTTGAGAGGGGCGTGGGAGGCAAGGAGGTCTCGAATTGTGCTCAACATCTGGGGTCCTTGGGAATTCCAGTGCCTCTTGGTGAGGTTAGCCACGATACCGCATTCGCTAACGTGCCGCTTGTTGTTTTGTGGCAGCTCTTTGCATCTCAAGCTCAAAGCCTGTTGCTCATGACAACAGTGGCGATGCCAGTCTTCAGCAAGAAGAACGAGACGGTAAGCGCCACGCGGCTGCGCCCGCTCGGCAGCCGCCAGAGGTTAAAGGATGCAGCAGACCCTCGTGGTGTGTTCGAGCCCACGGGCCCCTGAAAGCACACAAGGCCATTAAGGACTGCCACGGTTTTTCTGGCAGGACGTGTGGCTGATAATTCCTCAGTCAAGATGATAGTCTGCCATTTCCTCGGAAATGCTGTTTCTTCCAAATGCCCCTTAAATATGACACTTCGCCTTGTATTATATTTTCCATTTTCAAACTGAGCCTAATTCACAGACCCATAAAGTTTTAGGCTGGAAGAGATCATTATATTGTCAGGTCTGTGCAGTTTATTGCAGACCTTTACATTTCATATAGACAGTCTTCCTGAGCCCAGTAACCTGTGTTTGGCAAAAATGTCATTCCAGCGAGGCATCCAGCCCTGAGCACTCCACTGTGGTTTCTCACACACTGTTAAAAAACAGTGGCCAAATTCCAGTCTGAATTTGTCTGGCTTCACCTTCCCACCATTATGGCTTTTTCTCTAAAAAAAAAACCCTGTAGCCATTGATATTTTCTGCCTGGAAAGCATCATCTGCACTTTAGTAAAGTCAAATCTGTCATTCTTCGGATAAGATAAAAACTTTGAGCAATTTAGGTATCTTTGATAAGGGCATTTCCTCCAGATTTTGAAGCTCTAAATTTAGGGACTGCTTTCTGCACCATGTCCAGTTTTCCACCTTCCTTTCAAAAATAATGTACTCTACCTCACCATTGCTGTATGAAGGATAAACTCCTCAGCTGTCTCCTGTGCAGATTATCTGCCTTGTATGCGCAAGGCCAGCCTTAACTTGCATTACTACAGCACTTCAGCGGAGCTTGAGTGTTATTTTTCCACCATGATCTCCGGATGATTTTTTAAACAACCATCCCCCATTTTGCAGGGATTTCCTGCCTTTCTTTTTCCTAAATGAATAATTTTATATTTGGTTAGCCCAGTTATTAGCATATCCATATTGCTTTGCGTGATTGACTTTCCTGTGCTGTTACTCGCACATACTGAATGCAGACATTTGGCTTCAAATCTTCTTTTAGTGATTCTGTAGCACTTCTGGATCGCAATCAAAAATGTTGAAAATATTGGGTGGAAATACTCCTAAACACAGGAGCAATCTTCTTGAGACTTTTGAGTTTGAATGAGCTAATTGACCCAAACCTAAGGAGGACCCTGAGAGAGACCAGTAGGAAGGTTGTTCTGTGTATTCATTCAGGGTAGCTCAAAAGCTACCAAAGCTTCCCTTCTAAGAATGGATTCTCCTTTTTTTTTAAGCGATCTCATGGCATTCTCCTGGGTGTGGTGGGCTCTGATGTACCACTGAGGGAGCTGTTAAAGCTTGCACCACGATATAAGGTAAGATTGAAATAATTCAATGTGTTATTTTGCACAGAAAAGGCAGCACTTACTCTTCCATGGACATGACACTGTGAAAAAACTTTCCTCTGCCTGTAGGAAAAACTATGTATATAAAGCAAAGGAGGTTGGATGTGATGATGTGTGATTTCAACATGACACATGAGAATTCATCATTCACCACTAGGAACTCTTAGGCTGTTCCAGAATTACAGGGACTGGATGATTCTGTGGATTGGCAACAGGTCATGGAACCTTTGCATCTTGGTGGTCACCAGCTTAGATGCCTCAGGGATAATACAGGCCTAGCAGACTATCTCAGAAGAATTCATATTTTATATCCCTTTCCCAGTGGACAAAGGTTGCCATGCCAGCTGGCACAAAATAAGCTAGTTTCACTGTCAGTGCTCTTGGCAGAAAAATGTAAGACTGAATGGACTGTGGTGACCAAACTGTTCTGTCTTGCCTAGGGGTTTCTTTCTGCAAACCAGCATGAAGATTTCTTGGCAGGAGAGTGTCCAGGAAGCTGATTCTCACTCACTTGTGCTGTACCTAGACAGAGTATTTGCTCTCCAGAACTGCTAATCCAACAGTCCAACACTTTCCATCAGCTCTATGGACAATATATTCAGAGAGGGAGAAAAAAAAATAGTTTTGATCTCTAGAAAAACACCCTGCGATGCACCTTTTCATTTGGTTTCTGCTGTAAATTCTGTGCAGTGACCTTTTCTTCAGTCAGTCTGCATGCCAGGAGACAGCAGTAACCACTGAAGAGATTACCGCAGAAATCAAGTAATTTGAGCCCCAAAGCTTCCAGCCTCCCTTGAATAACTACTAGACACAAAGTACCTGTTACTTAATTGTCTGAAGTCTGAGTAATAAAGACCAACAGGTCTGCAAGTGCTGCCAGAAATTGTGAATCTCTGTGATGCTTACAGAGCTGGACACAGGATTTTTAGACCATTTGTATGCAGCTCTGTAAATGATCCTTCAGGCAACCCAAGAACTATGAGTACCTTTCTGCATCTGTTTTGTGACCAGGGCAACTTTGTCTAGGAGGTTCAATTTTTATACATGTTTATTTTCTCTGGAAGATCAATTTCCTTTCATTTTCTTTTCTCCATGTCACTCGAAGGTTATGTGTCACAATAATCTTTCTTCAGGACCAAGGTGGAACACCACTCCTTCCTTCAGCCAGGGCCAGGGAAGGAGGGAAAATTAATTGAAGTTTTTTTTTTTTTCCTTACATCAGAGAGAGAATATGTCTTCACAGAAGCTCTTCCAGCTCCAGTCCAGTTTGGAAACCTGATATCCTCAGCTTGGATCCGCTGATATATGAGTTACAGATTCAGTGAGCTGTTCCAGAGTTACAGCCCTGGAGAGCTCATACATTCATGACCCCACTTACTGGCTGGGAAATTTCAGCTTTAATAGGCCTATAGGGAAGTCTGCTGATCCAAGCCCTGATTCAGTGAGCACTGAATTCAGTCTGCCCTGCTGAGCTGAGCTCTGCGTGATTTGCAAGAAACTGTTCCATGTAGAAACAGACCCAAGTTTTGATCTGGGGTGTGTGAAGTAGATACATAATTGCCTCCAAAATTTGACTGATTGTGAATGACTTACCTCCTCGCTTCCAGACTGTTACTCCTCCAGGATAGATTCTCTAGGAGCATATAAAGAGGCTACATCTCTTTTAAGATAGAAACTTCAGCCATTCTTGTTTTCCTCGAGATGCTTTTTGTTTTGGCAAGTACAATCTAGAGAGGGGTTTTTAACCCCTGTCAGGTTGTGCTCTTCCTTTAAAAGCATTTTTAAGACTATAGGCTTGCACGATTAACCTAGACTAGATCTGGCCTTGCCAATACTGACACATAATGCAGAGCTTGTCTGAAGGCCAGGTTTCCAGAAATGTCTGTGAAATTCATACTCCCTTGTCCATTTACTGTTGTACATATATAGTGATCAGCACACACACTTGTCACACCGGTTACTGTACTGTTTATGATATTTTCCCTTATTGCCTGCTCTATGTATAAAAGTGCTGTCACTGCTGTGGAGAGTTAATGAGATTTTCAGCTGAGACGATGGCAGACTCTAAGAGTGCATCTTTTTCTAAAGGAAACAGTAATCAACTACCTGCCCATGCATTTGTGCACGCAAGCACAATCAGTCTTCTCAGACAGAGCAGCCAAAGACACAGAGACAAATGGTTTGGGATGGAGCCTACCATCTGCCAGTGAATATCTGTAAAAGGAATATACTGCTGGAAGTTGCTGGGGCCAGGGTATCTGCAGCATCCTTTACACAGCAGTATTTCTAGAAAAAGCAGAGCTAATTATTGTAATGCTTCTTTCTCCAGCTGGGTGTCCACGGATACGCCTTTCTGAACACCAACAACGGCTACATCCTTTCACACCCCGACCTGCGTCCTTTGGTAGGTGCATCTATAGCTAGCAATTTGAGAACCTTTGCTTGCTCGAAAACCCTGACTCTCAGGATGCGCATGATCTCTCACTTTTTTTGATCTGTGGGCCACCGGGATGGATCAGAACCAGATGGATGGATTCAGAATACGGATATTCTGAACATGAGGGCCAGAGAAATCAGTTCCATGCACAGTGATGTATATACATGCACATGCATACACATATGAAGTGTAAGGGAGCCTCCCTGACTGTTCTGTTAGACAGCATGGGAGTGCTTTGCTGTGGGCACGCACGTTTTTGTACTAGCAGACTGAGGAGGCCTTCTGGAACTTGAGGGGCACAAGGACAACCTGTCTCCTTGGCAGTGCCACCTGGACCTCCAGACTGTACATGTCCCTGCAACACAGGAAGGGTTTCATTGCACCGACACTCAGACATGCATTTTGCATTTCCTACAGGTGTCTGTGTGCACAAAGCCACAAAAGCACAGCTGTAAGTGTTAGTGTTTGTGTGGCAAGCGAAAGTACCACAACAGGGCTTCACGCCAGCTATCTTCAAAGAGGCAGATCTGTGCAGGGAGCCAACAGGCATGGATAACTACTCTGCTCTGTGAGGAGAAGGGAGACGGTGTTCCCATGGCAGGGGCTAGGCAAGGCCAGTGCTTTATCCTCCACCTGGGATTGGCCTCTCCTACTCTACTGCACCGTTTTCTTCAGCAAGAAGATTATAGGGAAGTAGCTTACTTCCATCAGTTAGCATCTGGTGAAAAGCACACCATTTTGTAAGCGAAGCTAAAGCCTAATTCCCATCAGAAAAGATCTCCTGGTGTTGTTATGATGTTAATGGGATTAGACTCTTAGCTGTGGGCAACACCTGATTTGCTCAAGGACGGTGTACTGTGCTGATCTATTTAGCAGAATATTCTCACAAACCAGACTGTAGCCTTTACCTGTAAGTTACCTCATGTTCCTGCTTGTCCCTTGCTCTTGAAATGGCTTTTCCCACTCAAACTCCCTTAGCCCCAGACTGCCCACATACAGCAATAGATGTCATGGGACTGAGATGGCACCTGTACCCAAATTTTGCCTTGCCAGTCAGACTAAATAAGGCACCCATTTTATGCATTAAATAGCAATTTTTAAAGGGTTGGTTTGGGAAGTTACCTAAGCACTTCTTGTTTTTTCTTAATACTTTTTTTCTTTTTTAATAAACCTCAGTATAAAGAAGGAAAAAAATTGAAACCTAAACCAAACTACAACAGTGTAGATCTCTCAGAGGTGGAATGGGAAGATGAGGATGAAATAGTGAGTATCAGAAACTGATTTTAGCCTTCTTTTATCTCCTTTCTATTACGTTGTGTGCACATGTGGTGGAGGAGGAGGGAAGAGGCATGCTTACAGCAGGCAGCAGATGCTTCTGGTTTCTTCTTTGAGGGACTGGCCCTGCCTCGGAGAGGCTGCTGGTCTACAAGAGGACAGGACTTTTGCTCCCCTTTGATTTCCTCTCAATGTGAGGTTTCACTCCCATGGAGCAGGGAGGAAAGGTGCTGTCAGGAGGATGGAAGCACTTGGGGGGTGCTCCAGGGAGCCACGTGCCCCAAATGCAAGTGGTAGCTGCTGCCTCCCTGCACAGCTGGCTTAATACAAAGCCAAGATAGTTTATAAATACGGAGGCCTCCCATGATGTTAGTCAGACATGTAGCATACAAAATATAGCTGCAGCCATCCAGCTAAGAAGATCCACAGGAAAGAATAAAGGACAATTCACAAAAAGATTTAAACTCGCAGTTTTTATTAATAATAAACAAAGAGCATGTGAAAAACAAACTTCCAAATAGCCCTTTATTGCACAAGTTAGGAGGCAGCGAAAACAAAAGATGACCAGAGTGGAAAAAAATGGAATATGCCTCTTTTTTACTCTCCATTGAGCAAAAATACTAAAAAGTAAAGAAGTGTTCAACCTGAACACATAATAAAAAGTGTTTCAGAACTAGGAACACCTGTGTAATAGGAAACCTGCTGTAGCTGGTTTTCTTTTACTCAAAAGAAGAATTAAGAGAGAATAAATACTTAAGTTGCTAAGTTAAAAGAAGTGCATTTGGAGTAAGACAGAATTATCCGTGGGACACATGCCTGTGGATTACAGAGAAGATTGTTGAGATAAACAGATCTGATGCTATAGATATCCACCCAAACAGGGAGGACAAACAAATTGCCCAGCCAGAGGATCTAAGTAACTTCTGTCATGACAAAAGGCTGCTGAAGGAGCTCGGGAACTGGAATGGCATCACACTGAGAAATGAAACACAACAAGACTGTGGGCAAAATGTGGAAAACAAGACAAAATTAAGCAATATTACACATGGCAGAAGCAACAAGATACACGTTGTCTCCAGCTTCATGTGGGTTTGCTAATGTCTTCTAGGAGCTCTGTTCCCAAGGCACTTCTCTGTTGCCAGTCTTATGGCTGCTCTTTTCTACCTAGGTCACTATTTCACAGAAGCTTCCAGGAACTTAGAGGCCTCCACCTTGCTGTCATAATTATTTGGCAAGTTCTTGTCTGACCTGTGTAAGGTTTCTGTGCTTAGGCTCTTTGTGCTTAGGCTCTCAGAGTGACAAAAATTCCAAAGAGGTATGAAAAACAAAAGCACTTCATGTTCCTGTATTGCATTTTCCAGAAGACAGAAAGGTTGCAGTCTCTGAGGGCACAGAGCGGATCAGTGACATGAACGATATCTGCAGTGTGACTTCAGCAAGTCTAGAGACTCTCAAGATACACCCACTGCAGCAGAAAGCTGCCAACATTTCGACACTTGGATTTGCAGCTTTGCTATTAGATCAATGACAGACTCAGCATCAGTTGCAGTTTAATCTCAGCAACACTGATAAGCAGCAAAATCAGTCTGGAAAAAATATGCCCAAGTGCTAATGATGTGTAATATAGCCAGCTGCTAAAAGAAATCCAAGGGAGAAAAAAATGTCACTGTCTGGAAAATTCAAATTGGTGCACAACAGTTCCACCCACAACTGGGCAGCAAGGAAGTCTGGGCTTCCTGAAAGCTCTCAGCTCCAGGTGATGGGAGAAGGGAAGGGTTGGGGGTTTTGCCCTGCAGTCTAGGAGATCTCCCCCAAGCATCCTGCTTCAGTTTTGTCAGAGCCACTGAAAAATAAATCCGCCTGCCAGGATCCTTCCACTTCTGAAAATGAGTGACTAAACATCTAGACATTCTGAAAAGCCTCCAGGTAAACTGCACGTCCGCGTTGGCTGGAGAGCCCCCGCGAAGCCGCTGGACAGGCACTGCTGCTCAGGGCCAGCTTCGGGACAGCCCGCGCTTCCCGCTCGCCCGCGGGAGCACCTGCTCTTCGTGTGTCTGGAGCGAGCGCCTCAGCACAGACCAGATCGCTCCTCCAGCCAAACTCCCCTGCATCGTCACTGTAGCGGCCCTGGGTAAAAAGACCAGACCCCAGGGCTACAGATGATTGATTCTCAGTGCAGGAGAAGCTTTTGAGGAAGAAGAAGCCAGCCTTGATCTTGGCACAACCTACAGCCACTCTGGCACGAGCGCTGGGCGCAGGACAGAAACCTGCAGACTCGCTGGAGCCGACAAGATTGGAACTGGCTTAGACAGCTCTTGCTTCTTTACTACCATATGGGGCAACAAAAGATGCCTGAGATGTGAGGAGAAGGTATGAATGAAACAACAATACCTGAACAGCCCCAACCCGGTGAAAATGTAGCAGGCTCAGTCAGATCAGAGCCACCTATGGCCGTGGCTCTGACAGGCCTTCAGCGTCTGCTAGCTGAAAAGGAGTAACAGCACCAGCCACCGTTTTGATTTCCAAGGGCCTGTGAACACACAAGCTTTATATTGTAGGCCTGTAAATAACCCACTTCAAACAGCTCTAATATTTTGAGCTATGGCTGTGTAAAGTACATATAGGTGAGACTGACCAGCTCTTGAATGGAAGCCTGTCTGTGGAAGTAAGGAAGTCTTCTGTGTGAATGAATTTGTTACTTCCCACCTTTTTTTTTTTTCTACCCAGACTAAAGCAATAAGCTGAAATGCTCTGGCAGGTTGGACCTAAAGTCAAAGCCTTTGTGCTTATGGAAACTTCCCTGGCTCTTTCTTGCAAGAGCTTGGGAGTCACTGTGAAAATTACACTTTGCCTTTGGAAACTGGAATGAATAAACTGGTCTTCTCCCTGCCTACCCTGCTATCATGTAGTCTTGCTGTGCTGTGTTAAACAGCTGCTTTGCTACGCCCCAGAAGTGTTGCTGAATACAGCTTATAATTTATAAATCAGTTCTAAAAATGTCAAAGAGCTTTGGAATTGGTTTGGGAGAGCTGGTGCATTTTCTCAGGTGTCTCTTCTTTCACAGTCTCAAAATACTGTGCTAATGACTTGCTGGCTGCCAAATGGTGATTTCTGAAACTTGGACTGAGAATTTCATAGCTTCCAAGTCTTCTCCTTTAGCTAAAAAGACACATCAACAAGCTTTCAAAATAAGCTTTATGATCATCATGTCACTTATTAGACTGATTGAACAAGGATCCTGACCACTGAGAACACATTTTCGGTTTAAAAGAAGTGAGAAAGAGCTGGGTGGGAGGGAATCCTGCCACTCTTCTCTGCCAGCCTCTGTATGTTATTGACAAGTGGTTCTGTTAACTCCCGTCCTGCTCTACCTGCAGACACTAACACTCTCATTCACCTCTGCAGCTGAGGACGGCCATGATCAATGGGGAAACAGGCTACCTCTCCATGGACGTGAAGGTCCCTGTGGATAAAGGGGTAAGAAATTATCCTTCTGTTCAGGTCACATGCAGGAGGGGATGGGAACTGGATGTTGAAGAACCACAAAAGATGTGGTTTCTAATGCTCAGCATTTCTGAATGTGAGGGTTTTATTGTTTTACCACATATATAACACATATGCTAAAGGCATAAAATACAGCATCATTAGAAATATTCTTCATATGTAGTGACACTCTGCTCGTACAAAGGTGTTAGAAGTGCTTCACAGCTCCCTGCTTTGTCCAGGCAAAGCCAAAAAGCATGTTGTTCATTGCAGGGCTGTGAAACGAATCAGGGAGCTTTCACAGTTGAGAGATGGGGAAGGTGTGTTGAGCTGACCTAGTCAGAAAGAGCTTTGGAGGCTCTTTTGCAACTCCCTTTCCCTCCCCAAAAACACTCATGAAAATTTTTCCCTCACTCTGTCAGAATATGATTTCCTTTAACCAGGTGAAGGATTAAATTTCTATGCAAATATTTACAGATATTTTATGAAAAATCTCAGTGAAATGGAGACGTTTGAATGTTCCCTACCAGCTCTAATGTAAGGTTATACATCTTCTCTTGGAAGCAGTGCAAAATTGTCCTGTACATTAGGTTCACTGGTACTTTTTCATTCAGGTTTACTTAACTCTCCCAAAGATTTTGGCTTTCATCATTTCCTCTTAGAAAGTATTCCAGAGTCCTGCAAGTTACACTACCCAGAAATCTTCCATCTTCTAGGAAAATTTCCATCCTTTAGGAAAGAGCCTTTTTTCACGATCAGGTTGGCTGAACCACTCTTCTATTACACAACCGTCAGCAGTCAGCACTAGTTTCAATAAACCAGTTGCTCAGTCGATGTCATTTGTTAATGCAGGGATCTCGCCATCTCTGTGCAGTGGTTGCTAGATCTTGTAACTACATGATCTTTCCCTGTTCTTTGTGTTCACAGCTGTCAGGTACTTGTCCGTAACTTTGCCCTCCCTCTCCTGGCCCTTGCCAACATATGCATTTGAAATACCTGCACACTTAGCAGGCCAAGTAGTTCAGCAGTTCTTTTTGTTCCCTTTGTCCGCTGTATCACGTCTGGTACACAAATACCAGAGCTTCAGTGAATTATTTGACTACTGCTTCCCTGTTGCTCTATAGAGAGCATCTATTCTCTGCAACAGGACCTTTCTGAACAGGGAGCCTCAAATCTCTTCTTTTCTGCTGTCCCTTCGTATTTTTCCTCTCTTCCTTAGTTGCCCCAGAACTGTTGCCTGGGTTTTTATGCTTCTTAACTATTTTTTCCTCTTTATTTTTTTAACTGAACCCCATGCCTTCTCTTTATCACATTTTTCTAACTTTTAGGGCTGCTGAGATTTTTTCTCTGCATGTAGAGAAATGCTGTTTTTGTCATATTTTGTCTTATAGATCATTATATGTAATGGCTCCTAAGATAGATTCCGTCTGTTCCTCTCATTAGATCATCTTCTTGATACACTGCTGTTTACTGCTTCTCTCTGTTTACAGTACAGCAGTTGGTTCTCACTCTACAGCTTATTTAAGCACACATTAATTGATTCTTCAAAATAAAATTTCATGAGAAGCTGTTTCAAGTGCTTTACATAAACTCAGATATATTGCATGTCCTTTGTTCCCTTTATACATTAGCTTTGTTGCCCTGTCGGAGAAGCAATCAAGGTTTTCCAGCAAGATCTATTCTCTGGAAATCTAGATTGCTTATTTCTCTGGCCTCATGTTTTTCCTCATTCTGTCTTTGTTCACCCACAATAACATTTCTTCTGAGTCATCTGAAGACAACCTTTTAGTTCAGTATCTTAAGGACATCTTTCTGCTCCCCTACCTAAGGAAAAAGCGTAACAAGAAATAGCCTCAGCAAGAGATATTGCCCGTTTGATTCTGCACAGAGGCTGAAGCTGAGCAGGTGACAGTTTTATCTGAATGCACAGGGAGCAGGGACCAGAAGCAAAACTTCACTAGTCCCTCTATTACTCAGCTACCTGATGGGCCGAGCAGCAGTTGCAACAAAGCAAGTGCTGACAGAGCCTTAAAACAGTGGGAAGGAGAGAGTCAGACAGCAGAGCAAAGCGTTGAGTGAAGGGGATAGAAAATATTGTCAGCCATGTAAAAGTGATTCCCCGGGTTGATCAAAGGAAGGCAAGGGGAACAGAGGGAGATGATAGAGAAAAATAAGGACCAAAGAAAAAGGGTGGTCCTTAGAGAGAACTGGTGGCAAAAATGCCTTTGATTTCAGCTAGCAGGCAACAGGGTTGAGACTATAAAGGCAGGAGTGAAAGCAATAGAGCAAGGACATGTGCAGGAGCTGTGGCAAACCACTAGTGGTGTGAGTGAGGAGTGACTACCCAGTAGTCACAACATCAGAATGTGACAGAAATGTTCCCGGACCACTGGCTGCTGCCCCACAGTCACTAAAAGCCACGATGTCATGTTGCTGTGCTTGGAACTGGCTGTGCTTGGCAAAAGGCTGGGACCATGTTGCTCAACAGCACAGGAATGGCACTCAGAGAGGGAGGGGGATGAAAAGTGGTTGAGCTGTCTGTGACCTCCTCACTTATTCCTTAACTCTAGCCCTTGTTCCCTTTAGTTCACATCCTCAGTACACATCCTCAGTAGCCCATCTGCCTAATGCACAGCCAGATCACACTGCAGAAATGGTGCGTTGTGCGTCGCTCCCCCTTTGCTGCTGCACTGCCTGCACCCTCAGCAGGTCAGCGCAGACCCCACACTTCCCCTGGGGAAGAGTGAGTTTTCTGTATGCCCTCACCATCTCCCCTACACATCATCTCCCCTCATTTTTGCAGCAGGGATGGGATTTAAAAAATATTAGGGTTCATATACTGGCATAAGTGTTGGATAAAATTTTTCCAAAAACTTTTCTCCTTTAGAAAAGAGTTCTACTGAAATCAACACTTTCCTACAGGAAAATGCCAATCTGGAAAACTGCTGAATTCTAAATCAGCTTTCAAAAATCTGACATGTCTTGAGTGAAAATGTCAGCTTGAAACAAATATTTTCACGTGAATCAAAATGGCTTGGATTTGAATCAGCACTTGTGTTTTATTTTGAAAATGTTAATTGTTCTTTTAATGCTTTTTCAAAAAAAAAAAAAAAGGAATAGGTTACTGTTTTGTCCCAACTCGGCACAAAAACAAATGTCAGGAATCTCAGCATTTCCCACAAAACTGGGGAGAGTTGGCGCCAGTTGCCCATCTCCTTTGCATGCCGGATTGCCATTCTGCCCCTGCTGACTCTCCTCTGATGCCACCTCCTCTTCTCCTTCTTACCTGCCTCACATAAACCCCACTCATACTAGTGAGGATGATGATGTGCAAAGCCACAAAGGTTGCTCCATGCAGCAAAAGAGCAGCAGGGACCCTGCGCTTTGGCTGAGATGGTGCAAGAGGGAGAGCAGCTTCTCCCCCTCTTCCAGCAGCCTGCCTTGCAGCCCCAAAGTAAAGAAGGGTTTAACTGAGGGCCTATATGGGAAAAAAAGGGTTGCTGAATATGCTGAATGCTGCACATTCTTTCCTGCCTCAGGCCAGTTCTTCTGGGGTGTGACGTGCTGGTGTTGACCAACTGCTTTGGCCTAACCTTGGGGACATACATCCCAGGTCACCATCATAACTACGGTCTTGGTCTGTCACATGGTCTCTCACATGTTTTTCTTGCTCTTATTCCAGAAACGAGTTCTCTTCCTCACCAACGATTACTTCTTCACGGATATCGGTGGCACACCTTTCAGGTGAGCAAGGATTCGCAGGTCCAATACAAAGAATCAAGAGTCTTTTCTTCATAAAACTGGCCATGACTCAGGAGTATAGCAGTGTGAATAACTGATTTCTTTGTTCCTACAATCGTTTAAAAAAAATGACCTGGGGTCAACTCAAAATTACTGAAAGATTTATCTGAAGTTCAAAGTCCAAAAGCTACATTTCAGATAAAGCAGATTGTTTCATTTCAGAGAAATGAAAGATCTCCAATATCTGTTTCTATTAAATATGTTCTGATATATGGTTCAAAACAAAACATTGTTGTGAACTGAAAATTATAAAATATTACATGAGAAATCAAATTAATATTTATTTTGTGTTTTTTTTTCTCCAGCTGAAATGGTTTAAAATTGGCAAGGTTTTAGAAATGCTATTGCTGACCTAAATGTGTGACTCTGGCCAAAAAATTGTGGTCAAAAGATGCCTCATAGCTGTACAGCCAGGTTCCTTACTCTCTTGCACTGAAATTAGATCTCACTTAATCCTCTTTGGATGATGTTCTTTAATAGCTGTGAAGGGAATTAATGGCTTTTAGGGTTGTAATTGCAAGGAGTGCAGTGTCATGTTCAGGGATTGCATCTTTCCTTGTTTACAAGCCCCCTGTTTTCCCTCCTGTCTGCAGCCTGGGTGTTGTGCTGTCCAGGGGACATGGGGAATACATCCTGCTGGGAAACACTTCAGTGGAAGAAGGTAGGTTAATTTGGAATAGCCATATAGGTCCAATGGTCAGGAAGTTCATCTGAATTTCACTGCTTCACTTCTAACCCTCCCGGCCTATATTTGTCAATCTATCTGCTGCCTAACCAAATTCTCATGATATTATCTGGTTTCAGGTTTGCATGACCTGCTCCAGCCAGACTTGTCTTTAGCTAATGAATGGTAAGTGGAAGGAATCTTGTCAATGATGCAGGACTTTGTCCTGAGGTTGTTGGCAAAGTTCCCAGCAGTTTTGCTTGAGTTCACCACCCTCGATGACCTTGAAAAAACAGTGTTACTCAGGGACTGCATCTGGAAGAACTAATGGTCTTGGGACAATGCAGCAGCACCTCAAGGATTCAGTTCCATCTCCTTCTTTGAGAGATCACTCCGAGGCCTGAAAAATCACCCTGCTAGGAAACATCTCCCAAGATCTACCCTCAGACTTCTGTGCTCAAACTCATCTTTTTCCTCTTCATGTTGTGCTACAAAACCTAGACTACGTCAAACATGGCAGGGGATTTTGTTGCAAGGTTAGCTAGAGATTGAAATGCTTTTTTAAATCCTAGCTTATTTTTGGAAAAAAATCCTGTGAACTGAGCTTAGACCTAATTTCAAGTGAACATGGAGCTGATTTATTACCCCTGTTTCAATACCATGCATAATTTATGGATTTGCTTGGCTTGGATATGAAACAGGGTGAAGCATGGCACTTTCCATTTATTGCTGAGAGGTTTGGGAGTTTCATGAACCCAAAATTCAGCTACACTCAGGCACATGAACCCAGCTTGAATCAAGGCCAAAACAACTATATTCAAGAAGCCCTGCAGCCCTTCAGACCTCTCATTACACTGTCAAGTTTCATAGGCAGCATACTTCAGACACACGCAGGGACTTCTCCTTCTGCTCCTAACTTGAGGTATCAGCTTACCATGCTTTACATATTCATCTTTCTTAGACTTCTCTCATAAATCATTCCTTTCAGTCCCTTAATAAGTTGTAATTCTCTCTTAGAAGCCCGTCCTTGTCCTGCCACTGACGTGGTCAAAATGGAAAGCAGAATTAAAAGTCTGGTTTCTTTTATAAAACAGAGCTTTCTATTTATAAAACGCTGTCCCAGCCCTCCCCTAGTCTGTGTCCTGATGCTCCTGGAGCTGAGTCCCATTTCTTCGGGACAGCTTTTCTTGCCAGTGTATCAAGCTGCCAGCTCCTTTCATGTCTCCCGTTCTGTTTCTCTGTCTCTTGGCTTTTCTGGTCCCGATGCAGTGTTCCCCACTCTGCATGTGGCCCCCTGCTTTCCAGATCCATCCATCACATTGTTCCCATTTTACACACACGGCTACACATCCTATGCAGCACCTATCTAACTCTGCTGGAAGGACCTGGGGCTGCTAAGCAGGTTGCATTGTTAGCTTACGCTCGTGGATGTTTGAGCAGCCGTATTTGAGCAGGCACACTAACTGATGTTTGATTTTATCAGTAAAGCCCGAGTTACAGTGAGACTCTTAGGTTTTAAGCAGCTGTGGCTGCAACAACTGTAACATTTTTGCAGCCCAAGCTTTCTTGCTGACTCTCTGTTTGCAGTTGCTTTCTTTTTTGAGGAGCATCTGCTTGACTGTGATTTCTTTGCGCCCTTGTGGGCTTGTTTCCCCTCCACACCAGGATCTACTGCATCACAGACATTGATCCAGACCACCGGAAGCTCAGCCAGCTGGAGGCTGTGATCCGCTTCCTCACCGGAGAGGAACCTGACCTGGAATGTGAGTCCTGGGGATCAAAAAGGCCCTGCTGGGGTTTTCCTGTCCCCATCACAGTGCAGGAGGGACTGTGAGAAACTGATTGGTGTCAGACTGATCTCCTGCAGCATCTGCTCACGCAGGCAAAACAGAACTCAAACCCAGGTTAATTTACAAGTGGAAATGAGCTCAAGTTCCATTTCCTTGTCTCTGTCAGAGGATCATTTTCTATTTCAAAACTGTCACATAACTTTGCCTTATTGAAGGTCTCTACGTAGGGAGTAGTGAAAGGTGAGAGGCTTGAATGGTGCTGGGGTGCTGCACACTGTGTTTAAGGCAGTCTGACCAGTGGTGGTGGAGGGGGCCATGGCAGGACAGCCAGGAAAGCTGCTATCTATTCTGCTCCCTCGGGCTCCAGCTAGCATCCTACTACTGCTGCACTGCGCCATCTACACAGAGGGGTTCTTCCATAACGAGGATTATTAATTTTGTTTTTCAAACACAAGTGGTAACTGACTGGGGAAGAAGAAAAAGAAAGCTTGTTATGGCATGATTGTATATCTAGTCCCCCTGCAGCTCCCCCCTCGCACCAGGCCCCGTCCTCTAGGTCAGTGTGGTCGCCCAAGCAGCTCACACGGCGGCCCTGCACAGTGGACGTCTGCTGGGGAGGGCAGAGGCAGGCAGCGTGCGTGGGGACTCCCTCCTGCAGGCTGGCTCCAGGGCGTCCTGCTGCCCACCGCGCTGGGCACGGCTTCTCGGTTAGCTCAAATGCTGAATCAAGCCCCTGAAGGGCTGCAGCCTTTGACAGGGAGATGGGAATCTCTTAAAACAAGAAACAAATGTAATGCAATAATTGTTTGTCCCTTACAAACAGACCCTTCCTGGCTGTGTCTGGAGCAGACAAAAAGAAGGGATATAGGAGTCAAAAAGACTAGGGACATAGAAGAAAATTTTAGTAGAGCCAACTGTGAGAAGCAGAGAGATTTGGAAGTGTTATGAAGGAAAAAGAAATAGGAATTGGACATGGGCTTGCTATGTGGGGGCAAGGGAAGGAGCTCTGGTTTTAAGGTCTGAATGACAGCAAGGATGTGGGAATGGATCTTGCCATCCGTGACAGAGAAAGTATAAGAAAGTTGGGAGAAATTAATAGGAAAGATTAGGAGAGCCCTGCAAGCTCAGTCCAGAAAGTGAAGGCTCACAAACCTAACCAGAGAAGATGGTGTGTCTAGAAAAGCACTGAAAGCTGCATTTCTGGAATATGGCAGCCATCGCACACTCACCGCATGAGACAAATGCGAGCAGGCTATATAAAAACAAAACACATCAAAGTTTAGATACTTTTCTACAATGGGATTTCAGAGCATGCCATTTAAAGCACAATGCCTCAGACTGTTCCAAACACCTCTCAGTCCCAGTTCACACTGGACTAGACTGGTAGTCTAGGCTAGTAGTCTAGTCATCTGAGGGAATCCAGGCCAGGATGGCATCTTGTTAAACTTGCAGGATGGGCAGTTAATGCCAAGAGATACCAAAGAGCACAGAGACAGCACAGAAGCCACCAAGAAGTCACTGGGGGTTTTGATGGAACTGGTTGAGTGGAATGGGGTGGATGATGTCCTCACTGCAGGATACTTAGAAGCAAGGCCAAGGGGAAGGATTTGAGGCAACGGCTGTGGACAGGCTGTTCAGTAAAGGAGAAGGCCAGAGATAGCCTGGTGTGGTGGATATCTTCATCAGAAAGTCTCTCATTTACCCACTCTTTAAAACCTTTCCACCAAGTTTAGAGGGAGACTGCCTTGATCTGCCTCGTTAGAGCATCCACCAGAGCTCCTTCTCTGCATCAGCACTGTTTGCCTGAGCTGTCACACGTGCTCCTGTAACACCTCTCCATGAGGCAGGACTCTGGCACCTGTCCTCAGCATTGCAAGGGCTGCCTCTTTCTGTGCCACGTTGCTCCACTGCCCAGAGGCAGACAGGGAGCCTCTTAAGATATCTACGGGCAGGCCATGTCTTTCTCTCCTGATTCTTGTTCTCCTTTCTCCTTAGGCGATGAGGAGTTGGTCCAGGAAGTGCTGTTTGATGCGGTGGTCACTGCCCCCATGGAAGCCTACTGGACAACACTGGCCCTCAATATGTCCATGTAAGTGTGCGAGAAATAGATGTATAGCACACAACATAGGCAGCATTTCCAGATGTGCTTATCCCCTGCCTGAAATAGTCACAGATTCTTATATCATGTAAAGGAAACTTTAGAAATAGCTCAGAAGGCACTGGTAGCTTTTGGGAGTGAAGTGCATCAGGTTGGGCCTTTTTAGCACTTGGTTAGTGAGGGTTTTTTGGTCAAGAGAAATTCTTTTTAAGATCACCCATGCTTGAATGGAGAATAATAACGAAGTCTTACTGTAAGGGGTGCTCAGCGCCAATTCATTGCAGTAGCTAACTCAGGTGCACTTTTTGCTCAATAGTTTAGACCATTTCAGTTTGATGTTTAAAGTATAGTATTTTTCTATGCACAGATTGTCCCTCCAAATGGTAGCAAAGTTGTTTGGCTTGACTTCCCATAAGGCTATAGCAAAAACGCATCCCAGTGGGAAATGCATCAGCAGAACCTAAGGAGTTTGATCTTGTGTCTTTTAGTGATGCCTTCAGGTTGATACTCAGGATCAGACAGAACAGCCTGGCTTTAGAGGGCAACTTTCTACTTCATTATTCCCAGGGTGGCACCTATTGCTTTTAGTATCTAACACCATGTCCCGCAGATCTGCTTTCAGCAGACAACATGCTACTTGCATAGATGCATGGCCACAGGACTCTTGTCCCTGTTTCAGCTACTGGTGTCCCAACTGCCAACACAGCTTGAGCCAGTGGCAACCCCGCTAGGAAATTTTAGCCAGCACACCCATAGATGGTCACAGCAATGCACACACCTCGCTTTAAAGCTGCACCACATACGCCATGCGGAAGCAGCTTCTCCACCATGTAGCTGTCTCATCTGTGCCCTTGATGACTCCAACCAGGTCTGCTACCCAGCCCTCCTCATACTGCCTGAGATAGCCGTTCTCTCGCTGTGCAGTCCCTCTCCCATGCTTATGTCCTCTTTCTGAAATAATCAAATGAACAAACTCCGCCAGTGTGAATGTAGGCATACATCTAAGCCTGCCAAGTGCTGGCCACTGCTGTTAGGAGGTAGAGGGCGGGGTCAGTCCTGCTGCAAATGGGGTTACATTACAAATGAATTTGGGGTGCTCTCCGGGTGTGCTTCTATTTTGAAAGGCCCTTACCTTGGGACAGGGAGACAGCACAGCTCGTGTTCTCAGAACTGTTTGCATCTGCCTGCATGTTTGTGTCCCACAGGGAGACTGAGTCAGGCGTTGAGATGGCATTTCTGGGCACCCGTGCTGGACTCATGAGGAATGCCTTATACGTGGGCTCTGAGAAACTTTCCAACAGGCAAGTCCCTAAACTGCATTACAGGGTTTCTCTCAGTTTCTGTGATGGGACAACGGGAAATCACCACAAGTCTCTGAACTGTATTTGGGCATGCAGAAATGGAGAGGAAACAAACAAGACCTTGGTGGAGTGGGTGCTTGCTGTTTTGAGGAGTCAGCGGAGGGGTCCTTTTGTCTTGCTCTGTTCCTTCTGCATATTTCTTAAAATACTGTCCCAAAGTGCATTTCATTGTAAAATGAAAAATTTTGATAATTCGCTGGCATTAGTCAGCTGAGAAAATGTCCGTAGTTGCTACAGATGCCCAGGACCATTTTTGCAGGGTATAAGGCTCTGCACTCCAGTGCCCAGGAGGAGACATTCCAGTCTCACTAGGTTTGATCTTTCTGTCTCAAGTCCTCTCCCAGGTTTATTCTGCTCTGGCTCTTATGCTGCCCACATCACTGTAGTGTCCCAATGCCTTCCAGTGATGCATTAAGCGATGTGACTGACATCTGCCATATACGATTCATTCTCTTGTCCTCTCCCTCAAGGCCAAAGCGTGTGCTCAGTGAAGGGTTCTGACGTGGAAAGGCCACGGTTTTCATTTTCCGTTGAGTATTTAAGGTAGGCTGGTAAGGAAGGACAGGGCACAGAGGCAACACCAGCAGCCGGAGCAGAACAGGATGGCATCAGAGGTGGCATCAGAGGCAGCCCGTGGCTTCTTCGCAAATCGTTCACTGTCTCCGCATCCCCCAAACACGAGCTTTGTCTTCAGCTCCTTCGTGCTGGAGGAGCTGTACATGTTCGCCACACGCTTCGTGGTTTTGAGGATAAGCGAGAGGGCCTTGAGGGCAAGGAAGAAATCGATGCGTGGCTACGGCCCGCCCCCCGCGGCCGACAGCGGTCGCCTCCCCCGCTCGCCAACTGTTTGTGGCAAACGTGGCCCGCGCTGGCCTGTGTCCCCTCTGACTACGGGTAATGAGGTGCCACTGGTGGCTCCGAGAAGAGCCCGGCTCTTTCATGTAGCCTCAAGCCCTTCCCCCTGTATAACCCCCGAGGAGAACCGCTGCTCCTCTGCAAAAGGCTACACTGGTTTTTCCTTTGGCAGGAAATTCCTGACAAGGAAGGACAAGGAAAGTATCTTCACCATGGACCACTTCCCTCTGTGGTATCGTCGAGCAGCTGAACATCCCCCTGGGAGCTTCATCTACAGCATCGTTTCAGAAGATGATTCAGGTAACCTCAGCCTGACCCTGATGCAGCGAAGCAGGGAAAAGAAAGCTTGTTACATGCTGCACCCCATGTGAGGTTCATCCTGGTCTCTTTATGAGCAGCTCTTGCAAGTGCTGAGATCTGGTCACCGGCAGTTTGTTACAGGAGCAGGAGGCACCAGCTCATGGGATGATATGGGAACTGGAGATGAGGAGAGCCAGTTGCTCTGAGCCATGAGGAAGGTGCTCACAGTTGTTTATCAGGAGGAGCTGGAAGATATAGGGAGGTAAAGGGCCTGGGTCAACTGAGAGATTCAGAGGCAGTCAAGGGAGCATGAGGGGCTGCAGGACATGTGAACCATAAGAATGGGAATTAAAGACATTGCAGAAGGAATTAGAGACACAAGTTTAGCCAGACCTGGGAGGCATTTGTGTGTCAGGCCCTTTAGCCACAATGATTAAAGTTATTGTCAGCCAGGACTGATGAGGGGTCAGTGAGCACTCAAGCAGGAAGACATGAGTTTAGAGGGAGTCATTTCTTCCATCACTGCTTTCCGTGACTAGAATATGTTCTCTCACATCCAGCAAAGGAACTCAAACATGACAGATGAGCAAGGAGCAGCTTTTCAGTGTCCCTTGCCTAGGGTGTTGGCTCCTGTGAGTAATCAGAGTCAGCTAGGACTTCCTCAAAGGCTGAAAGAGAACAGAAGAGCCAAGAGGGTAAGACCCGAACAAAACACTGGTGTGAGACTCCTACACAGAAGGCAGAAATCCCCTGTATGCTCTGTGCTGGTCCTCAGTGCTCCATCTCTGTCACGGAGCTCAGCACTTTAGTTGTTAGAGCTTTTTGTGGCACAGTGGTGGGAGGCTGGTGGGTGGGAAAGCAAATAGCAAGAAGAAAACAAGACTGGGAGGCAAGAGATGAACCAGGATGTAAGGGAGAGAAGTGGAAACAGAAAATATGTAAAAACTTTCACCAAAATCTCTCTTTGCCCAATACGTTTGCATCTTACTTAAAAGAGGAGTGTAGAGACGGGGTGGGGAGGGGGCATGGCAGGAGAGACATTTTGCTGCCCTGCATGCCACTACATTTGCTGTTTGGAATGAAGTAGCACTTGGAAAACCTGGTGGTAGCACCATATGGTGCTTCCTACAGACTGCTATTATCCAGGCACTAGCAGTCACCCCTGACTAACTGTTGGGGCTGTGGCTTGATTTTGTTTTCTTGGAAGTCATGAGTAGTTTTGCATGGATAAAGACTGAATAAAAGCAGCTACACTACTTTTCTGGTTGTATGTTTGTTTGTTTGTTTATATTACACTCCTATTACTTGGAATCTTCATTCAAGGTCAGGACCCTGTTATGCTGGAAAGCCTAAAAGCACATTGTAACAGGTAGTGCCTGGACCTGGGAACCTTATACCCTAAATTGTAGGGAAGATAATTACTCCCTTTAGATTGGGATAGTCAGGTTTAGAGAGACTGATCTATGTGACCATACAAGATTGCTGTAGGCTTAGAGAGACTGTGATCCATGAGATCACACAAAGTTACTGTGAAGAGCCTGGAAATAATACTCCATTTTTGTGAGCCACAGCACTTCACTGTCAGAGCAGAATCCTGGCCCTTCACTTGACATCCCATGGAACAGGGGTGCCCCACCTTCAGGACAGAAGAGGCCACTCAGTACCTTATGGGAGTTTTTGAGGATCAAATGTCCACTTTTCCTGTTTTCCACATCACTCAGTGTATGTCCTCCTAACTGGGGGTGTTTGTGGCAGATGCATAAGAGAGAGCCATAACATCCTTTGCGGAGGAGCCCATCAGCGAATGGCTGGAGGTTAGCAGAATAATTTATGCAGACACCTTGCCAAGTCCAAAATCCCTCAGAGAAAGTAGCAGGGAATGCTCAGTGGGTCAAACAGAACTTGCTCGGCAGGTCAAATGGAGCTGTTCTTGCAGCCCAGATCTGTCATGTGTCAGATGTTTCTTTTCTAGGGATAATATGTGCATATTGGTTATTGAATCTCACTGTTGGGACAACAAGAAATTTGGGATTCACAGTAAATGCAGGATAAGGCTCGAAGCATGTGAGCATCGGTTGGCTGAGTATTTCAACTTCACAAGGGCTTTGCTAGTTCTGGCTGACACCCCTGAGGAAATTAAACTGGCTTTAGTCCAAAAAAATGAGTGAGAGACTCCAGGCTAAAGCATGGTAGCCACAGAACTGTGCTCAGGACACATGGAGTATGAATAAGAACGATGAAGGCAGAAATGAAATGCAGGGACAAACTCTGGAGCTCTTGGGAAGGAAAGAATCCTCAATCCATCTGTCTGAGCAAGAGCCTCCGGTACAGAATGCGAGGAAGGAATCGGTTGCAGGCTAAATCAGTCGTGCTGACCTTCAGACTGTCCCCTGGCAGTTTCAAAAGTGGTGTCCCAGCTGAAGCTAATCTAATCACGAAAAAAATAATACAGACATGGCATCTGTTACAAGGGCAATTGCATTCTCTAGAAGAGAGGAGAGGAGAGGAAAAAAAAAAACAAACAACTATCCCCTTAGTAGCTTCTTAGGGTGCTTTTGTGGTTTGAAAGAGCAGTCCTTCAAACTCTAGGATTTTTTGGGGGCTTAGGCCTCTGTAAATACTGTCCTGGATATGAAATAGAGCAAGCTGCTCTTGCTGTGTTTTACATATCTCCGGTGGTGAGCTAACTGAGTCTTCTACATCTGTGTCTTGACAGAGGGAGCTGGCCCTCCAGAAGTGGTGACAGTGAGCACAGCCGTAGCAGTGTCTGTGGATGGGAAGATGGGGATTGCTGCAGGTAGGACATTTGGATTCTCTTTTCATCTTGAGTGAAATGGTAGCATCTTGTATTGAGAGTGGGAGCTGAGAGTTGTGAACTTGTCACTCAAGGGAAGTGATGGTAGCGATGACGAAAACCAGGCTGAACAGAGAACATTAGAACAGCTATTAAATGGCTAATAAGCTTTTGGAAGGGGAACTGGTTGTTTGAATGAAGCTTCCTATCTTCAAGATGGTAAAGTTGTGGATTGAGACTGACTTTGACCCTGGAGCAAATTCTATGCAACTTTTGAACTGTGTGTGGAAGGCACTAGTTTTTAGAAGAACAGGGTGTTCCTGGATCTCCAGTGCTGTGTCAACTCAAAACTAACTTTTACTGGTGGAATGGGCCTGTTGCTGGATTTAAAACTCATACAAACAAATTTCCTGAATTCTCTTTGTATCTGAGCTTGGAGCCCCTTTTGACAGACTCTCAATAGACCTTTATCTATGTGCAGTTTTGGAATATTTGTGAAACATGTTATTTCTCACAGAGACCCAAAATACTGTTGAAACTTTTAACATTTTCTGTAGCAATTGCAATTGTAGCTGTTATGAAAATACAACCAACTTGCTGTGTAGGAGTACAGGTATGGGAGAAAATGAGTGGATATGAGTGGAAATTTTTTTTATCGCTGGAAGCATTCACTAAAGGAAGTGGTTGCCAAAACAGCTAGTGGAGTAATTATCACCTGAAATATGCAGAGAGGCAGAGATAACCATGAAAGATTGTTTGGTGTTAACTAAGTCCTGTATGATGGAAAGAATGACTGGCAGGTACCAAGCAGTGACTTCGGATGC